CCAGTCAATCCTCCCCGGGTTTTATCGTGGGGCGAGTGTGTGTGTGTGAAGTGAGGGATGTACATGCCGTGTGTGTGTGTATATATGTGTACATCTATCTATGTATATCTAATCACGGGCTCACCATAGCCCGTGCTACTTGGAACTTGTTCCGAGTAGCTGAATCTATAACAACAACAACGTATATCTAACTACTAGGTCAACTGCTAACCTTCCCTGGGATACAGCCCACAACAGCTGCCTAACTCCAACGTACTGCTAGGTGAACAGCGGCATGAGGTGAAAGGTAATGTTGGCAAATTGTCTCTGCTCCAGCCGGGATTCGAACCAGGATCTTACGGCTATGAATCGAAGTCGTTCACCACGGAGCCCTATTAAGTGTTGGATAGATTAAACGTATCCAGTTAATATGGATTCATTGGTGAGAAACAGTATTTTGCAGGGTGTGTGACGCGGCTTACCTGGTGCCTCAACACCCCAGTCATGTTTTACATGTGTTGCAGGTGTTGGCTACGGCGCCGCGGTGATGTCGGTGTGGCTTAACATCTACTACATCATCGTGTTGGCTTGGGGCCTCTTCTACTTCTTCATGTCCCTCACATCACGTAAGTCATCTTCATCTTGTAGCCCTTCCTCCTGCGTCACCTTCCTCCTCCTGCACCTTCCTCCTCCTGCTAGCCAGTGTTACTGCTGGTAGTGACAGACTTCCTACTAGTGGGTGTTGTTGCTAGTGGCAACACAATACCACCAACACTGTAGTGAGAGGCCATGACGTGATCACGTACCAGCTAGCTCACCCCCTCCCCTTCCCGCCCTCCCCCATATATCTTGAGACTGCTATCTTGAGACTGGAAACTCTTGTAGGTTTCCAGCTGGCGGCTGTCAGCTTCTAGCAGTCATTCACAAACAACTTGCACCTGAATATAATGTTCCTTGATGCTACTTTTTTGCGTAATACAATCCAGACTCTGTTTCCCCTGAGAACAACAATGTCTTTAATATAAAGATTTTGCCTCGCTGAGCGACACTTGTATGAACAGCTTGTGTCTACCCTCTTGCAGGGTGTATGTATGTGTGTGCGTAGTGTGTGTACGTGCGTGCGTAGTGTGTGCGTAGTGTGTGTGCGTAGTGTGTGTGTGTGGTGTGACAAATTTCAAATATTGCCTTAACCCCGCGCCTTCTGCCCCCCTGCCGCCGCCAGAGCTGCCGTGGGGGTCGTGCGACAACTGGTGGAACTCTGACACGTGCGTCTCGCCGTACGCCCGCGGCGCCCTCAAGTGCTGGGACGAGATGTACAACTCCACGGCCAACGAGTCGTACTGCGTCGTGGGCAACCTCAGCCGTGTTAACGTTGTTAACATCACCGACCCCGTCAAGGAGTTCTGGGAGTGAGTATGTCCGCACGCTTTGCTCTCTCTCTCTCTCTCTCTCTCTTACCCCTGGATAGGGTAATACCCTATCCAGGGGTATCCAGGGATACCCCTAGAAGGATACCTGATCAACCAGGCTGTGACTCATACGTCAGGTTGCGAGCAGCCGCGTCCAACAGCCTGGTTGATCAGTTCAGCAACCAGGAGGCCTGGTCGAGGACCGGGCCGCGGGGACGCTAAGCCCCGGAAGCACCTCAAGGTAACCGCAAGGTAAGGTACCCCACGTAAGTCACTGGCAACATTGATGTGTCACGGTCTTACAAGACGGTAAGAACTCTTGCACATTTATGGATTACATTCTTACAAGAAAGTAACAACTAGCGTATATATATAAATCAAAATATACAAATTGTCAAACTCATTATGGGACATCTCCACGAGTGTATTTTATATTGATTTAATATTTCATAGTACGGTATTTGTTGATTAACTACACACACACTTATCTTCCCATCCACAAAGTTATAATCACTTCCTTTGAAGTCTTGGCGTTGGCTGACATCACTTTTATCTTGCATCTGGAGGGCATCATGAGTGGGAGTTTAGCTTGATACAAAAACATGCTGCGGCTCTATCTTAAAGTGTTAGACGCAGTTAAGTATGATAAGGAAGCATAATTAATGTGTAGATTTCTGTTTAGATATGTACACCTGTGAGCCCCAAGGAGTGTGGGCCAATCGTTGGGTGTGAAGGGTAGAGGCTGAGAACACGGCCAGGTGTGTGATTCTTATATTTTGTGTGCACCAGGTGTGTGACTCTTATATTCTGTGTGCACCAGGTGTGTGACACTCATTCTGTGTCCACCAGGTGTGTGACTCTTATATTCTGTGTGCACCAGGTGTGTGACACTCATTCTGTGTCCACCAGGTGTGTGACTCTTATATTCTGTGTCCACCAGGTGTGTGACACTCATATTCTGTGTCCACCAGGTGTGTGACACTAATATTCTGTGTCCACCAGGTGTGTGACTCTTATATTCTGTGTGCACCAGGTGTGTGACACTCATTCTGTGTGCACCAGGTGTGTGACACTCATTCTGTGTGCACCAGGTGTGTGACACTCATTCTGTGTCCACCAGGTGTGTGACACTCATTCTGTGTCCACCAGGTGTGTGACACTCATTGTCACCACGAGTGTACTTCCGGCCGCAGTAACTGGTTGCTGTAGGTTACGATCAATGTACATGATTTGAGAGAGGAGCTGCTCTCTTGAGTATTAGGTTCAAGGCCAAATACTCTTCCTCCTCTTCCTTCCTCTTCGAGTAAGGCCTAGAGGCCTCACTCTTCCCGAAGACCAAACTTGGACCTCTGGTTTTCTTCTGCGGTAATCCATGATGTTGAAAGGGCTGTTGTTGTCCGTCTTGGTGAAGGGGGCGATGCTAACACGTGAGACAGGTTTGGCCTAAACTTCACACTTGGCTGTGATATAAAAAAAGTATCCAAGTCAGTATTTTTTCTAGTTTGGTAAAGCCGGTTGTGTAAGTCTGCACATTGTTCCCACATTCTCCATGGCATTGCTTTTCCAGTCAGTCTTATGGTTCAGCAGCGTTAAGTTTCTGTCTGGGGATTACTCAAGTTCCAGTACTTTTGAGACAATAACATTCATCTTAAAAGGATAGAGTAGCTTAGGCTATTTCAACCCTCCTAGTACTCTATCTCCTACACACACACACTAGGTAATACAATCTTTGTTCACTTCATATGAACGTCTTTCACTAATGCTTAAACAATCACGTGATAAAAACAGGGTTAACCGTTCGTAGGAAATATATACTAACAAATAGAGTCCAGCGCGTGTCCCTGGCATGGGACAACACCAAAAAAAGGAAGTTCATTGAGGTACCGTATGTTTCCTTCAACAGAAAACGGGCTCTTCAGATCTCCGAGGGCATTGATCACCCCGGCACCGTACGCTGGGACCTGGCCCTCACCCTCCTCATCGCCTGGATCCTCTGCTACTTCTGCATCTGGAAGGGAGTCAAATGGACCGGAAAGGTGGGTAGTGGTGGCCGGGTGGAGACACAGTAGCAACACGAGCCAAGTGTGTTCAGGGCGCCACCACCATTCTGGATAAGCCCAATGTCAGTGAGAAGGATTATAAAGCATTTATCGCATTATTTGGGGCGTGACAGTTGCTGTGGATCATTAAAGATGTTGAGTCGAAGTGACACATTACTTGACCGCCGTCTTTGTTTTTTTGCTGAGGAAATTATACAACCTGTTTAATACTTGATTTCCAGATACAATATTATTATTATTGTATTATTATGTGATGATGCATCACTAACGCTGTGTCTTGGGCAGGTGGTGTACTTCACGGCGCTCTTCCCTTACCTGCTCATGTTCATCCTGTTCATCCGAGGCGTGACTCTTCCCGGAGCGATGACCGGCATCCGCTACTACCTCATCCCTGATGTGGAGAAGCTCAAGGATATTACGGTCAGGCCCTGCTGTCACCCCCTCACCCCCTGCTGTCACCCCCTCACGCCCCTGCTGTCAGCCCCTCACGCCCCTGCTGTCACCCCCTCACGCCCCTGCTGTTAGCCCCTCACGCCCCTGCTGTCACCCCCTCACGCCCCTGCTGTCAGCCCCTCACCCCTGCTGTCACCCTCACTCGCTGCTGTCACCCTCACCCCCTGCTGTCATCCTCACTCGCTGCTGTCACCGTCACTCGCTGCATGACTTAGTGATCATTATTTAAGCTGGTAGTGAGGAGCTCTGTCCTCACTACCAGCTTATATAATGATCTATATAAAGTAATAGATCTTGTGTAAAGATGTCAACGTCGGCTGTGGCTTATTAATGGGGAATTGTAACAGTTGCAATATTGGTGGTAAATGTGGGAGGATTATCTCCTTCCTGACGTCAGTCTTATAGAGCAATGTCTGGCGGTACGTTGTGTCACGCAAATGTTGATTCTTGTATAATGTCATTCTTTGGATGTCATATAATTAAAAGGAAATTATTTATCATTCATATGGCAGTACTTGGAATAACTTTTGTTCGTCTTAATATGCCAATAATTGTGAGTCAATGATACAGTGTCTGACACAACATTCTGCACATCCTCGCCTCTTGGGCCCCGACATAACTTTCCATACAAGGGAAAAGTTAGCTAAGTCGCCTCCCGCCAAACACACACCGAAACTACGACGTTGGTACAATGTTCGAACAAGTTTTAACACCTCCTAACCAGTTATAACAACCAATATAGCAAGTTGTAACAACGTTCTAATACGTCATAAACACGTTAAGCCAAGATGTAACAACTTTATTACAAGTTGTAACAAGCGGAAAATAGAGTTTCGGTTTGTGTTTCCAGGGAGCTAGCTGACTCTTCGAGCGACCCATAACGTTGTGGAATGTGGCATGTCAGACCCTCTTCTAACCAAAGGATAACATATAGACTAAGTGCTTCATTTTTTGTATTGATTAGCCCTCTGATTTTTTCTTTTGAGCCACCGAGTCATGTTCCCTCCGGTTTATACATTCTTGTTGTGGAAATAAATGAAGATGAGCTCTGTTACTTTTGTTGTCATACAAACGTAACACAGTGATTAGATCAGTATTTGCTTACACGGCGCCAATGATCTCCTTATTGCGTTCCCGGAGAAATTATTGATCAATCAATCATACCGAGTTTTCAGTATGGAATAAATGGTGATTACTCAGACTATGGTTTCCGTGTCATAGTTGTGGGTCATATAACTTGCAGCACTTGTCAAGTGCAGAAGCAAAAGTTCATTAAAGTGTTCTGATGTTGCATTAAAATCTGATTGATCACATAAATCTCTCTCTCCCGTCTAGTACATATAACTGTTATGCAGACGATGAGTCGCAATAACGTGGCTGAAGTGTGTTGACCAGACCATATACTAGAAAGCGAAGGGACGACGACGTTTCGGTCCGTCCTGGACCACACAATCGACTCGAGAATGGTCCAGGACGGACCGTCACGTCGTCGCCCCTTCAGTTTCTAGTGTGCGGTGTCAACATATAAACTGTTATTCTCCCTGGTGTGTGGCAGGTGTGGGTGGAGGCGGTGTCCCAGGTGTTCTGGTCGTATGCACTTGTTTTAGGCTCCCTCATCGCTCTGGGGTCCTATAACAAGTTCGATAACAATTGTTATCGGTGAGTAGCGTTCATAATTTGACGTTCTGTTTCAAATATTGTCCTTCCATTACGATTTCATATTTTAAGGCACGTCCAATGAATAAAATTACAATGTTGTTATTATTATTGTTATTATTGCATTTGGTACATGAATTAACTCCAAAGGTTGTCTTCAGGGACTCGTTGATATTGTGTACCATCAACTCCTGCACGTCGTTCTTCGCTGGCTTCGTTATCTTCTCCGTCGTGGGCTTCATGGCAGAGCAGCAGCACAAGGAGGTGTCGGAGGTGGCAGCTTCAGGTCAGTCAGTCACCCAGTCAGACAGTCAGGCTCCAAGCCTCTCCTGTCAGGGTGCTCTAATGTGCCTGACCGTCCCACTATACAGCAAGAGTTGAACCGTTGATGTTCAGCATTTGAGAACTTTGTAACAGTCAATAATTGTGCAACGTTATGCAAATTTTATATGGGGGGTCCATATTCACAGTAACTGGTTATTGTGAATATGGACCCCCTCACACCAGTGCCTCACTATTGACCTTCCCCAAGATGCAACTCTGCAACAATTGCCTATAACTCCGGGGACTTATTTACTGCTTGGCAGAGAGGCATCTGGTAAAAGGAAGCGTGCCCAACCATTTCCGTCCCGCCCTGGGATCGAACCCGGGATCCCTGAATATGAGTCTGGGATAAATTAACGTAGACCACCGTACTAGAGAACTACTTTGACCATGGGTTTGACCACGTTTGGACAAAGTCGTGATCGTCTCGCGACCAATAGGGTCTATGTTTGATTTTCTGGCACGTCTCCTTACACCTAATGCCTCTGTTCACCTAGAGGTAAATATGTACCTGGGGGAGTTAGGCAACTGTTGTGGGTAGCATCTAGGGGAAAAGATGGGTAGTTTGCTAGGGGCAAACGTTGATAATTAAGCCTTACGTGGTTAAATGCTTTGTGTCGACAGGTCCGGGGTTGGCGTTCCTGGCGTACCCGTCGGCAGTGCTGCAGCTCCCGGTCTCGCCTCTGTGGTCCGCCCTTTTCTTCCTCATGTTCCTCATGCTGGGACTCGACTCCCAGGTACAGGACAACCCTCTTTCAGCTGCATATTAAAATGAGTATTCTTCCTCAAATTCAGTTTACCCTCGACTCGTTAGTTTGAAATTCAGCTACAGACTAGTTTACTCATTTTATATTTAAGTCACATTTTGGGCACAAGTGTTTAGTAATGTTTATATCAGTGGGTCGATACCTGAGTGCGAGTTGTTGCCTGATACAGTTTGTGTAGACTTGCTACAAAAATTTAGTGTAGATTTCCTAAAGAAATAGTGTAGTCTGCTTCAGAAACATTTAGTGTACATTTAGTGCAAAGACACTTAGTGTAGACTTAATACAGAAACATTTAACACATACTTAATACATTTCGTTCATTTCATATAGGAATTAACTATCTTAGTCCTGCTGATATTTTATATCAACTATATTTTTAATACTTTTTATTAGTTTACATATTGATGGCAACTTTTAGGTACATATTATAATCTATATAACCTAATTATATAGATTAGATTATTGTATTTAGGTATATAATTATATATACCTAAATACAGTACAATACAGATTGTACTGTATTTAGGTACATATTATTTTATTTATTAAAGCTACACTCGTTAAATTTGGCAGTAATCAATAAATCAACAATCAAGGTCAGCTAGAGTCTTCTATCAGGGGGTTCCCATTCTCTTTCATGTCAATGTTTTATTCACCAGCAGTATAATATAAAGATACAGTGGGCCACATTCACGAAGCAGTCACGTAAGTACTTTGCCCGAAACGCATTGCGTAATAGTGGCTTTAGGCATTGTATGTACTAGCTCTATCTATATATCAATCCATTAATGTAACATCACTTGTATGTATGTACCTTACCTGAATAAACATATTTATTTATTTATATTTATATTTACTTACGAACCTGTCCATCTTTTCTCAATCTTTGGCGGCTTTGTTTACAATTATTAAACAGTTAATGAGCTCCGAAGCACCAGGAGGCTGTTTATAACAATAACAACAGTTGATTGGCAAGTTTTCATGCTTGTAAACTGTTTAATAAATGTAAACAAAGCCGTCAAAGATTGAGGAAACATGTACACGTTCGTAAGTATCTGCGTAACTGCTTCGTGAATCTGGCCCAATGACTACATGGTAGTAAGGTCATTGTTGGTCTCCTCAGTTCTGCACCATCGAAGGCTTCGTGACAGCTGTCACTGACGAGTGGCCCAAGCACCTTCGTAAGAACAAAGAGATCTTCATCGCCGCCATCTGCATCTTATCTTACCTGGTGGGCTTATCGTGTGTCACTGAGGTAAGTCACTCTCTCGCATGTCTCACCAAAATGTTATGTCTTCACATGTTTGTATTGTCTAGCAGGACCTATTGGCTCCAGTTGCTGAGTCTCGGCCCTTATTATATATTAGTACATACTGTTAGTGTCTTAAGTTTACTGTAACGGTCTGTTAGGCAACCTTGAAACCCGGTTCTCAATTCACAAGAAATCTGAGTATTTTAGAATGATAACTAGCTTTGCATTTAAGCATATGATCTAGAGTAACCAAGGTTATTAAGGTAACCATATAAACAAGAAATATAACGTAACACTGAAAATTCACTAAATAACTATATTAATGAAGCTACGCTATAAAGTTTAAAGCACTGTGCCCTTAATAACCCGCTCCAGTATACAGAAGGACCGGGAGCAGTAAAACACAAACGTATGATAACAAAATATAATAATAATATACCAGACAATTAAACCATGCTGTGGTAATTTATTATTTTTATTATTATTATTATTATTATTATTATTATTATTATTATTATTATTATTATTATTATTATTGTAATGGCAGTGAACCTGTGGCTGCAAGTCACATCACTTATACTCGCTATAAAATCCTTGCTAAATATAGATACAGCCTCTCACAAGGATGGGTTTAACATCTGTTCGTGAAGGCGTTTTCCGTGAAGCAAATGAAGTAGAAAGCTAATCTGTGTATGTACATTATAAAGCCTGATTGTCTGTCAGTCTGTGTGTGAGTGTGTGTGTGTGTCCAAGTTTGGAGGCCAGATGCTTGGGGCTAGCCTGACCTAACTTTACACCCTGATTCCTGTGGGGTACGTGCCTAACATGGTCAGGTCTGGGGTCACAACAGGTCAAGAGGGAATAGTTCATGTACCTACACCCCACTATGATTTTGGTACTGGAGTTGGTTCCTGTTTCGCTAAATATTTGCAGACAATTTTTAAACAAATTTTGTTATTATAGAACTTTAAAACATTGTGCACTGATCTCGGGTAAATGTGAAAAAAATAGTCGTACTTTGACCATAGCAGCGAAAGCATGTAACTTTTAAACTGAACCACACAGCCTAGGCCCCTCCATCCCCAGGCCTATGCATCTGAACTCTCCCGCCACGAGTCGAGTCCATCTGAGCCCCCTCCTGAGAGAGAGAGAGAGAGAGAGAGAGAGAGAGAGAGAGAGAGAGAGGGGGGGGGGAAGGGGGTAGAGAGAAGAGAGAGAGAGAGAGAGAGAGAGAGAGAGAGAGAGAGAGAGAGAGAGAGAGAGAGAGAGAGAGAGGGGGGGGGAAGGGGGTAGAGAGAAGAGAGAGAGAGAGAGAGAGAGAGAGAGAGAGAGAGAGAGAGAGAGAGAGAGAGAGAGAGAGATAGATAGATAGATAGATAGATAGATGGTAGAGGAGACAGACTTGACTTACCAGGGTACTGCCATGTACCCCTTCTTGTTACCTTCAAATCATTGACTTGACTTAAGGTTGCTTACGATCTTCCATGAAACTAAAGGATATATCATGCTTTTCTAGAGAGTTAAATATATTGGAGTTCTACCGACGTGCCATGCCCATGTAGGACACTTTATTATGATATACATGTAATATAATAAATAATTCATATTATTGAGGGACAGGAAGCCAGAGTGTATTCATGCACGTTAGTCTTTTATCGAAAATGCAACCCCACAACAAGCTAAGAAACTCCTGAGTACCTACTCACTGCTAGGTGAACAGATGCATTAGATGAAAGGAAATGTGCCCAGCCATTTCTGTCCCGCCCGGGATTCGAACTCGGAATTCTCGACTGTGTGTCGAGAAGGAACCTGACTGTACTGCCGGGACACGTATTGTGTATTCTATCATAATTGACAGTTGTGTATCCTAGTGAAAACTCCTTGAAATCCACCAGCAGCAATGAATAATAACAATAATAATATATAATATTTTTATGTGTATATTTTTGGCATGTATTGTATTCATATTTTTGGCATGTATGATATGAATATTATATTTTAAAACCCTGAAACTTGTACTTGAATTTTGGGTTGACCTTCTGCTGGTCATTTTCTCAAATTTGATTGTAAATCTTAAGGCTTCATGTTTTATATTGTATTTATAAGTAGTAGTCTACATAAAAGTAAAATTGTCACATAATTATGTTATGTGTGTGTCTGAACCCATTGTTGTACTTTCCAGGGTGGCATGTATGTGTTCCAGGTGCTGGACTCGTATGCGGCCTCTGGAATGTGCCTCATCTTCCTCATCATGTTCGAGTGTATAGCCATAAGCTGGGGCTACGGAGCTAACAAGTGGTATGACCATGTCAAGGAAATGATCGGCTATTATCCCTTCTTTTGGTGGAAGTTCTGCTGGATGTTCATCACTCCTGCCATTTGCTTCGTAAGTTTCAAGTCTCCCAGTGGACTGAAACGTCATACTTTTCATTGCTTTTCAGTCCGTCCTGGAGCCTTAACAAGTCTTGATTATGGTACATGACCGGTCGAAGTGTCAGCACTTAACAATTTCTCTTCATATGTGTTTATTTTTAGTTTAAGGTTAACCTTAACCTAACCTTAACCAAGCCAAGGATAGGATGTATATTAAAGCACTAATTACATAGTGCTTATTGGTGCTAATAATAATATAACTATAAAATATAAGTACATAAGAATATATAAGTACAAGAATGTAGCAACTCTTGTATATATCTCAAAAAAAATAGACTAGGTGTGGCGATTACCACAAAGGTACATACCCCCCCCCTAAGGACGGGTTGGTATTTCGAGGGGTTATTTGGTAGGCGGGACCAGGGATTTGTTGGAGGGATGGTCAAATATACACCAGGAACCTGACAAGTTTTCGTGACAGGATCTGGACTGCCATTCTCTAAAGTTCTGTGATTCAACTAATCATATATAAAATAAAGTACGCGTGTGTGTGTGCGTATTTATTGAATAATACAATGTACTTTTTAAGTGGTTAGGCACCGGTCCTTTGCCCCCCTCTTATCCCAGTCCTTACTATTGCTCTATAGTCGTACTGGCTGAACGGTTTCTCCTCATAATTACTTTACCTTTTATATTAAAATAACCAAACTTGAATTAAAATCTTGATCTTTGATGACTTTCATGGAACAATAATGAATGCTTTACATTGTTGCATATTAAAACATTATTGCTGTATAATAAAGGAAGGCAGTGCATTGTTGTATCTCAAAAAGAAGGCTGTGCATTCTTGCATCTCAATAGAAGGCAGTATATTATTGCATATTGAAAAGAAAGCAGTGCATTCTTGCATCTCAGAAGAAGGCATTTCAATTAAAGCAAATAATTTTTGAATGTAGATTGTCAGATGTATTATGAACAAATAATTTTTGTTCATTTTGAGTTGAGTGAGTACTGTGCGTAAAGTGTTAGGTTGTCTTCGCAGTGTGTGTTCATGTTCAACGTGATCATGTGGTCTCCCCCGAAATACGTCGACTACGAGTTTCCAGTTTGGACCCATTTCGTTGGCTGGCTTATGGCACTCTCCTCGATGTCTTGTATCCCAGTCTACGCTGTCTACAAGTTCGTCACCACGCCTCATCCCGGGACCTGGAAAGAGGTGAGACAGCAGGTGGAGCGTTCCCTGTGGCACTTTGGGAGCATTTACTGTGGCACGCAGACCGTTCCCTGTAACATACCGGAGCATTTCCTGTTAATTACCTAGGTGAAGGTAGGGCAAGGTCAGAAAGGCAACGGTTTATGCGTCACAATTTATGTCTGAAGTATTAATGTAGTCAGTGGTATCATTGGTGAATTTACCTTGAAAGAGCTCACTGGTGTTCCGGTGATTGGTGGCTGCAGATTCTATGCACTGTGACTGTCTTTTAATATTTTATTATTTAATGAGGAGTTTAGCATCCTTAAAGCTGTCGAGGTGATGTAACAGGTATCTGTATGTGGCACAGGCGTTGTTATCGCTTAAACATGTGATATAATTATGTTTCGTAAATCATTGCAGCAAATTTTCTAAACATTTCAAGAATGCATGTTCTTTACAAGCACCAAATTAAATGCCTCTTATCCTTGCAGAGATTAATAGCCATCACTCGGCCAGAAATTGACATAAATAGCTTGAAGAACAAGTATAGAAGTACCCCAGCGGAGGCTACAGCAGTGTAGAGCCCCGTATGAACCAGCGCACCTCCACCGCCTCCTGCACCACCCACCGCGAACACACTCTTCAGGTCGAGAGAACACGCCACAGCGGTGCTGTAGAGTCTGCAGGGGGGTAAACACACCACCCACAGGGATCAGCCAGCCCCCTTCATTATACCCACTGAGACAGGGTATCACGGTAGATGGGTACAGCTGGGTATGACATACCCATACAGATGGGTATGTCACTGTACTTTTCCCTAGGGCTAATTTTGAATTGATATGTGGTACAAGTATTTATGCAGTTGAACTATACGTTATTTTGTTGTTTGAGTATGTTGTGATTTAAGACCAATTGTAAAGTAAAGACTCAATAAAGCTGAACTACCCTTAATCAACAAGATATACAAATATCAGTGACATTTACAGACGTAGTTACGAAAATAGCTTGTCACAAACTGACTTAGACTTTGATCATCTTGGATGTGAAACTGCCACTCCTCCCCCCCCAACCCCTCCTTTTTTTGTATGTGTAGATTTTGTCAGTACACTGAGACTGCTCTGTTAAATCGACTGGTCATCAGACAAGAGTCATCATACATTATTGTTTAGCTCACTTGACACTATGTGACATGATGGGTGGTGGTGTTATGGCTCGGTTATGATGATCATCTGATATGTCTTGTGCTATATTTGTGGCTTGGTTGTTAAGGGTGCCTGAGACCTCAGTCTTATGTATGTCAGGATTCTGCCTCTCATCAGTATGGAGACAGTTCAGCGCCACAACTGGAAACTATAAGAATATGTCTTTATTGATACTTGTACTAAAAAAAAAATAATCATTGGTTTTCATTAATTTAAAATGTTGTTTATATTAAATAATTATGTACCCATAGAAGCTGAAGCTAATTATATTATATAAATCTTCAGGTGAATGTCCTCTAGACACGAAGTAAATTTGTTAGAAAATAATATCATAAATATTAAAATAATATTTTATTTTGTAATTGTTAATATGCAGTAATTAAATCTTAAGTGCTTGCAAAAAAAATTGACTAAGATCTTCGCATCTTATACAAGCAAATATTCTTAGTTCTTATTGAAAACACACTGCAGGTTTTACAAGTGACAGCTCAGTAATGACCTGCAGTGATGTTAGTGAATTTGTTGTAATCCAAAAGCAATATTTTCCTCTTGTGGGGATCTGTATATTGATGTTGGCAACTATGAAACTAGTCTAACTGCACTTAAGACGCTCCTCAGCAGTCCTAGTTTCTGACCTTGTTCATCAAATGTCATATATATATATATATATATAATGTGTGTCATGCCTAATAGCCAGATTTACCTAGAAACCCAAATTTTCTTACACATTTAGCTTTTCAACATTTTGAAATTACGGGTTTGCATTGATAAATGTCTAGTTTAATAAACCTGAATTGTAAAATATTTAACTCGAACCAAAACTAAATGTGCAAACAGATCTTAGCCCCTTTGTCATAGGTAATATTAGGTCTGAATAAATGGGGTAGGTTATTTAACCACGGGTATAAAATAATTAAGCCCCGACTCTATTTTGGAGAAATACGAGAAAATAAGCTAAAACGTTCTGGCTATTAGGAAAAACTACACCTAACGCGGCACTGGCTATTAGGTTCAACATATATTTATCATAAATTTAGTGACTTATCTTTCTCATTACAGAAGAGTGATGGAAAGCTTATTCATATGAATAGATTTGCATTGAAATAATCGAGTAATGAATTGCAACAAAAACCCTCACGTTAATCATCCCTATAACGACGATAGTTTGGACTGCCAGGGGCCACTCTTTTAACATGTAACTCTTAGTCAAATTAATTGGTGAAGGGCTTCCAAATTGTCTTCCATATTTTAGAGTAATTCTTTTACATGTCAGAAAGGTAGGTGCTCTTAGAATGTTCAGTGAGGCGTCTTTTATCACGTTATAATAGACAGATCCTGAGGGATAGATGTTAGCTTGACTTGGGACCAAGGCGCACCAGCCATCTCGGTCTTCCAAATGATAAATCAAATCTTTGAAGTGACTTGACGTATGATTAAGGACTTTGAATGTCTTTGCCGTGAAGTCTTTGTAGTATATCATGATTTCAATTTGGATCTTATTTAAGTAGTAGAAAATGGTTCATTGTATAGCATTGTGTTCCATGTTGTTGGTCCTGTCTTCACGTGGAGCACAGTAGCATGTATGCAAGCAATAACATCACCTGTTTTTGCCATTTATCTCTTTTATCTACTCTAAATACCGTATTTACTTAGTACTCAATGGACCTGGTAACTCACCTTATAAGACTACTTCCCTGTTTCTTAGGTTAAAGTGCTAGGCGTTGTCATCTCCAGGTCATACTAGGCCATGATTGGGGGCGTTTCTGTTATCCTGTTGGTGAACAGCTCCTTAGGTTTTAGCCAATGAGAAGTCGTCATTTATGAACCTGGACTACAACTGCCAATAAAGAGATGGTTTTCTTGGAGCCTTGCGTGCCCCACCATTCAGCCATCCCTCCAGCCAATCAGCGCACGAGTAGGAGTGTGACACGCCTTGCTCTGGCCCCGCCCTTCTTTCTTAATGCCTTTTTCTGATTGGCTTAAACTAAGCAATTTTGTAAATTATATATTGCAACCAAATGTAAAATAAATAATGAATGTATGTATTGCCAGTAAGTTGAATTGTGTACATGTTATATATGTTAAAAATAATGTTTTGCACAGACTCGTTAAGAATACTGAGTATCTATTATAGTGTAAGAATTTAGCGCTTAAGAATATCTTGTTTTCTCTTAATTATGAGTGCGTGGACTTTATTCTAAAACTTTGATGTTAGGTTATGCATGTACAGAAATGTATGTAAATTCTTGTCTAGTAAGGAATTCCTTAAGTGTTGTAATTTAGTCATCTTTTTTTTTTTTAACACAGGTAACATCAATGTAAGTACAAAGTTCAGTGTTCCATAAAAAAGACTTTTGAATGTCTGTACAGGTAGGAAAGCCTGCGTGAGAGATATGTAAATAAGGATTATCAAACCTACTATGTACTTGGGCTTCGTGAACGTCAACATCTCTTCAGGGTATTACTGTAAGCAGCTGTTTGCTCTTTGTATTTTGGATCTTCATTAGGAGGGTAATTTTGTATGACCATTAGGAGTCATTAAGTAAAATGCCGATCTATTAAACTTTGTAAAATTACTCAGAATGTTTAGCATTAGGGGGGGTTCAGTGTCGCGTCTGTCCTCTGGAGATAACTCGAGCTTGTGTTAAACTTGGGGAAGTTACATTTATTAGAGATAAGTATCATAATGTGGCTCTTAAGTAGGCATTTATACACGTACACATTGCATACAAACATTTATACACATTGCACACCAACATAAATACATATTGCACGCCAACATGTATACATATATACATTACATACCAACATATATACATACACATTGCACACCAACATGATATATATATATATATACATTTACATTGCACTAATAATGCATATGCACATTAATACAAATGCACATTACACCAATCAACATTTGTACATATACACAATCCACATCAATATTTACAAGCTCATAATTATGCATACGTAGATATTAACAAATCACTCGTACACGAATATTCCAACATATGCTGTACTGTACACGAGGACGTAGCTACTAAAGACAGAAATACAAATTACCAGTTACACAAGTACACTCATTACTGCTTTCACATATACACATTACCAATTACACAGGTATGTGTCTTACCAATTACACAGTTATGTGTATTACTAATTATACAGATACGTGTATTAGCAATTACACTTGGTTGTAGTTTTGATTTCGGTATTAAACTGATTTGTACATTAGGATATATCTCGTTCATTCCTTACTTCCTGTGGCTTTACCATATCTGATTAAGTACATGAAAATGTAATACTTAATCTTTGAAATAAAAACCTAAAAAAGCAATAACGGTTGTTTTTGTGTATAATGAAAATAATCTATTAAATATGAATCTGTTTTAGTGACGAAGGAGGGAATAGATATTCCTTTACCACACAAACTATATCGGTAAACATTGTGCTCAGCATTTGTGTGTGTGGATTCTGTGGTACAGTGGTCTACGTTCTCTACCTTACAATCGAGGATCCCACATGGGACAGAAATGTTTGGGCACGTTTCCTTTCACCTGATTCCTTCTCTAACCTAGCATTAACACCCGGGTGTAGCCGTAAATGCCAAGATCACTACACTCAAATACAACTGAAAAATGACTTCAGGGATGAACGGGAAGACGATCTTTGACAAGCCATATGCTTCCTGTACCCTTCGAGGCCACTAGAGATGATGATCCTCGTGTAAATTCAGGTAAGGAAATCGATAAAGGTATTGTAGATTTAAACTGCTTGACTCTATGGAAACTGATAGCAAACATGATGATAAGGACCAATGAGTGGTCCTATTGTGGATGTACAATATATAGTGTTTATCGCCAAAACTAAGAAACTAACAAGATATAATTTGGAGGAAATAAATTTAGTCACTGATCATGTGATTACTGCTTTTGTGGTCACTGTTTATGTGGTCTCTGCTCTTGTGGCCACTGTTTATCTGGTCACTACCTTTAAGTCACTGTTCATGTGGTCACTAATAAAAGAGCAAACCGGCGTTGCACCAAGAGTGAACGTTCTATGACAAGACTTATCTCATATCTTCTTCACTCGCCTATACACACTCGCTCTCCCCGAGTACCTCAAGGCACTCGTGTACTCAACACTTACTGGTCTTGAATCTGTTTTGGTACTGAAGCTTAAGGTCTATCAACTTATAGATGGGTATTAAGACCACAACAATAGCCTACTGACCTATTAACACATATACTTCAGTTCAAAACTAGATTCAGTACTAAAGTAAACTCGGTGAATATGCACCTAGAAGCAGAATACTGTACACCTTTTCGTCGGAGTATATATATCTGAATAAAATCGAATGTATGTGTTTGTCTGTCCGTCTAAGGTTGTAGGTCTGATGCATGGGGCTAAATTCACTGAATTTATCTAAATGATGTATAGGAGTCCGATAGGCCTGTTCCCCCCCCCCCTATCCTTTAAGAAATATCGTTTTTTCATAAGATGTGAAATAAGGAATTTGTTTTCCATAGAAATTGTTGCTGTTTATCACCTGTCCGTAATATATTACCTTTTCTGAGACAGGTAGAGAGAGAAAAGGCAGTGATAGGAGAGAGAGAGAGAAGAAAGGAGGAGTGGGGGGAAGAGGAGAGCAGAAGAGGGATAGGGAAATAGGAGATATAAGGGAAGAGGCGATTGAGAGATGAGGGAAAAAGAGACCCAGGCACAGCCGGGTACCCCATATTAAAAAGAATATTACTATTACCCATAAACCGTTTAAATACGAACTCACTATTCCCAAACGAACTTAACGCAGTTTTCACCTGCCAATCGCGCGAAGAAAATTCGTAGGCACTGAATATTCTTTCGTTCATGAATTTATACAAAATAAGTTTGTCGTGGTGACGCAACACCACCTACGTGACGTCACAATATTTTCCGACCGGGGTTCCGCGGAACCTCGAAGGTAACACGGGGTTCCACAAGAGATAGTGATAAACAAGCTAATTCTAATCATATGCAAATGTATTAATAGAGTTATTTTTTGTGTTTAATTTTTCTCATTTAACCATCATAAAGAGCAATGACAGAAATCGTCCCCTTTCAGTTGACAATGAAATCCGTGTGTGTTTATCTCATGTATGACCCGGAATTATTTCAAGACCAAAGGTTGAGAAAGGCCCGACACACATGCCAGTCTACCTCGCTGGTATAACATTTATTGTTGCTGTCTTCAAGTTTGTTCGTGTAAGTTTGAGTTTCCGTTGATGCAAACGTTCTTTTAACAAGTCAGCTATGTTGATAAGAATGAATGACGGTAATTGGCTTGTTCATACGAGTTGTGAATATGAAATATCCATTATAAGTTGGACATTCTCCTCTGGGTTGATCACACGTAAGTATTGTGGTGTCTTGAACAGGTGATGAGCAGCCACTCCTCCTCCTCCTAAGGTTTCCCTGCATCGAGAAACTGTCGTATTAAAGTGTCCTTATCCTAACCTACCAGAGGACCCAAAACAGAAAACAGGACAGTACGTCAATTTCGCGAGTAGTTAGTACGACGATTTTTGGCCTTAGAGCATATACGTCACGACGCTCACGAGGAGGACGGGGTGCGATGAGACTAGTTCCTTGTGCAGCTTTATTGGTCACATTCGCCCATCGCTGCTTTCAGTAATTGGCATATTTTCGGTATAAAAAGTCGGAATTTCAAACTGCGAATACGTGCAGAGAGCCCGAATTTGGCTCCAAAATATGGCTCAGGTATCGGATTTGGGATGTTTGGGATATTTTGAAAACTGCAGGGGGGTTTGGGCAAAATGTGACTCACCACTGTTTTCAGTAATTGGCATATTTTCGACATAAAAAGTCGGAATTTCAAACTGCGAATACGTGCAGAGAGCCAGAATTTGGCCCCAAAATATGGCACATGTATTGGATTTGGGATGTTTGGGAAATTTTGAAAACTGCAGGGGGGTTTGGGCAAAATGTGACCCACCGCCGTTTGCAGTAATTGGCATATTTTCGGTATAAAATGTCGGAATTTCAAACTGCGAATACGTGCAGAGAGCCAGAATTTGGCTCCAAAATATGGCTCAGGTATCGGATTTGGGATGTTTGGGATATTTTGAAAACTGCAGGGGGGTTTGGGCAAAATGTGACCCACCGCCGCTTTCAGTAATTGGCATATTTTCGGTATAAAAAGTCGGAATTTCAAACTGCGAATACGTGCAGAGAGCCCGAATTTGGCTCCAAAATATGGCTCAGGTATCGGATTTGGGATGTTTGGGATATTTTGAAAACTGCAGGGGGGTTTGGGCAAAATGTGACCCACCGCCGCTTTCAGTAATTGGCATATTTTCGATATAAAAAGTCGGAATTTCAAACTGCGAATACGTGCAGAGAGCCAGAATTTGGCTCCAAAATATGGCTCAGGTATTGGATTTGGGATATTTTGAAAACTGCAGGGGGGTTTGGGCAAAATGTGACCCACCGCCGCTCTCAGTAATTGGCATATTTTCGGTATAAAATGTCGGAATTTCAAACTGCGAATACGTGCAGAGAGCCAGAATTTGGCTCCAAAATATGGCTCAGGTATCGGATTTGGGATGTTTGGGATATTTTGAAAACTGCAGGGGGGTTTGGGCAAAATGTGACCCACCACCGCTTTCAGTAATTGGCATATTTTCGATATAAAAAGTCGGAATTTCAAACTGCGAATACGTGCAGAGAGCCAGAATTTGGCTCCAAAATATGGCTCAGGTATTGGATTTGAGATGTTTGGGATATTTTGAAAACTGCAGGGGGGTTTGGGCAAAATGTGACCCACCGCCGCTCTCAGTAATTGGCATATTTTCGGTATAAAAAGTCGGAATTTCAAACTGCGAATACGTGCAGAGAGCCAGAATTTGGCTCCAAAATATGGCTCAGGTATTGGATTTGGGATATTTTGAAAACTGCAGGGGGGTTTGGGCAAAATGTGACCCACCGCCGCTCTCAGTAATTGGCATATTTTCGGTATAAAATGTCGGAATTTCAAACTGCGAATACGTGCAGAGAGCCAGAATTTGGCTCCAAAATATGGCTCAGGTATCGGATTTGGGATGTTTGGGATATTTTGAAAACTGCAGGGGGGTTTGGGCAAAATGTGACCCACCGCCGCTTTCAGTAATTGGCATATTTTCGATATAAAAAGTCGGAATTTCAAACTGCGAATACGTGCAGAGAGCCAGAATTTGGCTCCAAAATATGGCTCAGGTATTGGATTTGAGATGTTTGGGATATTTTGAAAACTGCAGGGGGGTTTGGGCAAAATGTGACCCACCGCCGCTCTCAGTAATTGGCATATTTTCGGTATAAAAAGTCGGAATTTCAAACTGCGAATACGTGCAGAGAGCCAGAATTTGGCTCCAAAATATGGCTCAGGTATCCGATTTGGGATGTTTGGGATATTTTGAAAACTGCAGGGGGGTTTGGGCAAAATGTGACCCACCACCGTTTTCAGTAATTGGCATATTTCGACATAAAAAGTCGGAATTTCAAACTGCGAATACGTGCAGAGAGCCAGAATTTGGCTCCAAAATATGGCTCATATTTCACATCAGAGTTCACATTAGAAAGATTAGATGACATCCCATCACCCACACAAATGTTTGAAGGATGTGAAGAGAACGAATTAAGGGATATACCCATAACATGCTACGTAATCATGACAAACTAAAAAGACTCAGGTGTAGATGGAATTTAATCCAAAGTCATAAAGGAACTAGCAGAGAAACTATGCCTACCCCTGAAACAGTTTTTCAAAAAATCTGGACCAAGGGATAGTTCCTATATATTTGAAATATACAAATATCACCCCTGTTTCCAAAAAAAGGCAGAATGAACTCATCAGAAAACTACTGTCCATTCAACATGACATCACACATCAGCAAGCTCATGGAGAGAATCCTAAGGAAAGGAATCTTTCACCGTCTCACAGCGAACAATCGTGTAAAATGACGCAGCATGGGTTTGTTAAAAATAGATCCTGCCTTACGAATCTGCTCACAGAAAGAATTTTCCTCACGGCTCCTACTGATTTTCTTACTGATACATCACGTTAATGTGATGTATCATGTGAGCATGTTCATTGTGCATGAACCTGCTCACATTTTTGGAAACGGTAACCAGCTACTCAGACAAAAGACTTCAGGTAGATGTAGTTTACATAGATTTTGCTGAAGCTGTTGATAAGGTAAGACTGGCAAGAAAATTACAGGCACTTGGGATACACGGTAAAATACTAGCATGGATAAAACAGTGATTAAAATAAGGAAAGCGGATAGTCGTGCTATTTGGCGATGAATCTGGAAAAATGTGATAAGCGGGGTACCACAAGGGTCCATTTTGGGGCCAACCCTTTTTGTCATATACATCAATGACATAGATAAGAATATTACAAACCACATCATCAAATTTGCACATGACACTAAAATCTACGGTAAAGTGGGAAATTAAAATTATATTTAAACCTTACAAAGAGATCTACATGAACTCCACAAATGGTAGGAAGACTGGCAAGTGCCTTTTAATATCGAAAAATGCACGACTTTCCATGTGGGGCACTACTACCCATAACTTACAAATTAATAACATTTGGTAGTCACAGCTACCAAATTAATAACATTACCTTGCATCAGATTGATGAAGAGAAGGATTTTGGAGTCAAAATCCACCATTCACTAAAAGTTGTTCAATAGGTATGAACAGTAGTTAAAAAAATAGCCTAACCAAACCATGGAGATAATCAAGCGTGCCCGTGACTTTACGAAAAAGTAGGTAGTGATTCAACTGTGTAAATCTCTAGTCCTTCCCCACTTTGATTATAGTAATAATAATTAATATATCCAACCAATGGTGACTTTTCAGAAGAACGTACAGTATCTGCTTTAGAGAAGGTACAACACCGGGCGAAAATCATTCCAAAACGAAGGATCTCATCGAAACCTTTTAAATACTGAACAATTTCGAGGATGACGATGCTGATAATTTGTTCAAAAGGTCAGATGTAACACATACAAGGAGCAACGATTTCAAGCTCAACAGGTCACAATGCAGGACTGAAAACTGAAGATGCCTTTTCATCCAAAAGAGTTATAAACCCATGGAACTGCTTACCCGGCGTAGCCGTAAATGCCAGAAACGCTCTTAAATTGTAAAATCCACCTGGAAAAAATCATAAGGGCAAATGGGAGGATCTAGTGATCAGGTCACTAGAGTGTTAGTGGCCCTCAGGTAAATTCAGGTTATGTAGTGCTTCAGCGAGATCTGATATCTATTGTCGTCTTATCAGTTGATTATTGATCAGTATTGCTGGTCAGCATATCTCTTGTGATAGCGTCTTTCGGGGTAAATCTGATGGGATCTCAGATAGTCTTAATTATTGTTTGTGCATTATCAGCCGCCTTGAAACAGATTTTTGTCGTTATCTCTGCCAATTTGTATTCACTTTCCCATTGTTTCTGATGAAGTTTGATGAAGTTCAAGTGCTTCAGTAAATGTGTCCTATTATAACGACCGTCAAGTACAACAAAACGATATATATATATATATATATATATATATATATATATATATATATATATATATATATATATATATATATATATATATATATATATATATATATATATATATATATGCGAACAAGCCTGAATGGTCCCCAGGACAATATGCAACTGAAAACTCACACCCCAGAAGTGACTCGAACCCATACTCCCAGATGCCACGCAACTGGTATGTACAAGACGCCTTAATCCACTTGACCATCACGACCGGACAAAATGAGGTGATAGCCGAGGCTATTTGAACCACCCCACCGCCGGCACTCGGATAGTAATCTTGGGCATAGCATTTTACCAAATCACCTCATTCTTTGGGGCACACGTGAGGAACACAAATGCGAACAAGCCTGAATGGTCCCCAGGACAATATGCAACTGAAAACTCACACCCCAGAAGTGACTCGAACCCATACTCCCAGATGCCACGCAACTGGTATGTACAAGACGCCTTAATCCACTTGACCATCACGACCGGACAAAATGAGGCGTCTTGTACATACCAGTTGCGTGGCATCTGGGAGTATGGGTTCGAGTCACTTCTGGGGTGTGAGTTTTCAGTTATATATATATATATATATATATATATATATATATATATATATATATATATATATATATATATATTATGCCTTCAAATGCCCACTTGGGGACTGTAAGCTCCAAAAAACCCAGTATATAGGCAAGACAACAACATCTCTTTCTAGGCGTTTAACGATGCATAAACAACAGGGCTCCATTAAGGAACATATAATCTCTTCCCATAACCAAACCATCGCCAGAGAAATCCTAGTAAACAACACAGAAATCATCGATAGATACAGCGATAGCAGGCGGCTTGACGTTTGCGAGGCACTACACATCAAGAAGTCAACACCAGCAATCAACAGCCAATTATTGCACAACTATATTCTACCCACCTCAAGACTCCGCTCCAATATAGAAGCATCAAGAAATATGGACCAATAGGCTTTCTACAAACACTTCTATTCAATACCCATTGTTTCTGTTCTGTCTTGTGTTGATACTTTTAATACCCTATTAATATCCCCTAGTGTTCTGTCTTGTGTTAATGCCACATCACCCTTCCCACCTCACTCAAATGTAATGCCACATCACCCTTCCCACCTCACTCAAATGTAGATATAAAATCAGGGAAACGCAAGTTCTAATCAGTTGTGTATTTGTGAAGTCTTTGAAAATGTAATAAGTTTTACGAAACGCGCCCGTGTCGCGTCAGACTAGAAATAAAAATGAATTTTGGAGAAGTGATTTTTGATTTACCTCCAACAGTGAAGCGTAATGTACGAAAGATTGAGAAAATTCGTGTTAGAATTATTAATCTTACTTTTTCGGTCATATTTAATAATATATGTCTACAGGAAAGACTGCTACCAAAATATACTAATATATATATATATATATATATATATATATATATATATATATATATATATATATATATATATATATATATATATATGTAAATGTCGTACCTAATAGTACACTATTTGGTCTAATATGCAAAGCCCGATTTGCCTAACAGGCAGATAAATTTTCCTTATTTTCAATTATTTCATTTCAGATTGGTTTATTTTAATTAATATTATATTAAGAACATGAATTACTGACTTAGTTATTAGGTTAGGTAGGAATAGGTTAGGTTAGGTTAGGTTTGGTTTCATGAAATTTTCATGTTAGTTATAACTCAATTTAAATAAATTAAAATCATATATAATATAATGGAAAGCTTTATTATTCCATAAAAATAGAAAATGAATTCATTTCAGGGAAACTCGGTTTTGTTAGGTAACTTGGCCTATCAGATACAACATATATATATAGATGTTACCTTAACATCTATGATATAGATGGACCTTAGATGTATATCTAAGGTCCAGTCCAAAACTATTAGATACAAGAATTCTCACATAAACATTCAAAATATATGTTTCATCCATTCTATCACCTGAGTGAAAAGCGAGTTAGACAGCATCATAAATACCCAGATGCAGCATCCAAATAAATTTTCTTAGCAATCTTAGATGCTCCTTTGTTTTCTCTTGTCATTTGTGTGTGGATACCATGTCGTTTATGCGTCAATAATAGAGGTGGAGTGGGCTGTAACTTGCGTTGTGACAGCCTTAACATGGGTGCTGTGTATTGAAATTTCTTGTGTAATTAGAGGACACAAGGAGAACCCTAGGACAATGGCGTCAAGTTCAAGTTTAGCCTCGAAACTGAAGAAGAAGGCCGTGAGGGTGAAGCATCAAAAAGTGAAGTTGTTCAGGGCGAACGAACCCTTCCTCTCAGTGTTCATGTGGGGGGTGAACCACACGGTAAGTTCAACTCCTGCACTCTATTACACCCTTGACAATGCTTCCCAGTGTTGATGTGTGGCTCTGTGAGGCCACCTCTTGCCCCTCCCTCACATATATACCCTCGCTGCCTCTCACAGTTGCTGGGGTCGTCGGTGGCAGCTCCTCACAGCAGACCCCATCATTCTGGAATATTTTTTACTGTATGTTTCAATAAGTTTTCAGTGTAGACATGAATTGTGGAGTGCCAGTCATGAGGGAGGTCGTGGGTATTTCTGAAGCTTCTTGGTATGTTAGTTTGTGTGTTTGTGTAACTTTTATTTATTTATTTATTTATTTATATATATATACAAGAAGGTACATTGGGATTGTGAGGATACATAGTATAGTAATTACAATCTTGTAAAGCCACTAGTACGCGCAGCGTTTCGGGCAGGAACTATAGGTAGGCACTCATTATATGTATGGAATTGGTCACCTATTATCGAGGTGTGTTATTTAGTACCTGTCAGAGTGTGTGTATTTTCAGCTTGTCAGGATGTGTTGTGTTATAGGTGCTGTTGAAGTGTGCTGTGGCGTGACATCTGCTGCTGAAGCGTGCTATGGTATGACGCCTGTTTTTCAAGTGTGCTGTGGTGTGACACCTGATGCTGTAGGTGTGTTTGTAGTGTGACACTTGTTGCTAATGTATGTTATTTAGGCTATTACCTATGCTGCTGTTTAAAAGTGTTATGTAGGACATACTGTTTAATGTATTAACTTCGTATCTGCAGTTGATTTGCAGTGTTCACTGGACCTGCTGTGATTACAAGTCACATTTACATCTTCTTCAACTCTCCCGCCCTTCCAAGTCATGTTGCATTTTATTAAGGCAGCTTTGCTGAGGTGCATTAGGACATTATCCTGCTTCATGTAAAGTCCCTCATACATACTAATTATTAAATTAAACACTATTTTAATAATGTCACATTTATTAACAGCTTAAATATAAATATAAATATTTAAAACTAAACATAAAAATCAAAGAAACATTGTTCTTTGTGCTGTTGAAGATCCTCTATGCCAGGATATATAATAATTTATATCCTTGTGAGAAATATGCATTAATATAGGCACTTAACAATGTGCTGATCCACACACATTATATAACATTACCTGTGGAGTTGCTGTTCTTGTTACTTAAGATTTTTTTCATTATCAGCAAGGGTTGGATAACTTCTATGCTGGCTCAATAGCTGGCTCTGGTGATTGCTTGCTATCCTCTGAAAAAAAAATAACTCTTGGATCCTTCTTAAAGGGTGCTCCTTACCCTACTACCACCAATATCAACAACTTGGATCATGACTCAAATTAAGCTATTAATACCCATATCTAATTGAGAGTATGGGATATTTAATTTTTTGGATAGTGAATGTACTGCAGTGGTCATGTTTGTGTAGCAATATGCTTAAAAAATTACTTTTGACCTTGTGTATACACATCACAGCCAGAAAGGAAACTTTTTACGGTTTTCAGTCCTTTACATAGAAATAATCCTTGAAAAATTTGCTAGTGTGTGAGGGGGGGGGGTTAAACTTGTTTATATGCAATATGTAATTAAAATAAAATAAATTAATACGGTAATACCAAATAAGTTAAAACAGCACAATTTACATTAATGGAGTAAGTTTAGAATACTGTATTTATAATTGTTTATCCCTGCACTGTACATCACAATCAATTTTTTTTAGGCCTATCATAAAATTTAAAACTCACACAGGTACACAGGGCAGTACACATTTGCTTCCTCAAGCCTCCAGTAACCATCCCCCATCTTGTTTGTTGACAGTTACCTAACAGTCCCCCAAAAATTGGAAAAAAACCTGATTTTTGGCAATTATTTTAGTGGATGACGCAATGCTACGTCATCCCCAAGATTACTGACAGTAAACTGATGACGCAATGCTGCGTCATGCCCGGACTAAAGTGTTAATTATTCAGTCCCGGGGTGCAGTGGTAAAACTCTTGCTTGGTGCTCTGGAAGCGCTCTGGCCCGGGTTCGTATCCTGGCCAGGGAGGATTTACTTGGCGCCAATCCTTAACTGTAGCTTGTGTTCACCCAGCAGTGAATGGATACCTGGTTATTAACGATTCGGTAGGTCGTATTCCGGGAAATATTAGGAATAAGGACTTGCCCGAAACGCTATGCGTGCTAATGGCTGTACAAGAATGTAATAACTCTTGTATTTATAAATCAATAAAAAAATATAAAAAATATTGGAAAATTCTGTTCTTTAAAGGTAACCAGGTTTAAAAAGTACCACCAGCTTATGGTTAAATCTAGTTCTGTATTATAATGGACAGGGTTGATATTCAACTTTTGGAAATTTTGTTTAGGATATAAAATTTGTATGGTAGGTGATTTTTTGTGGTATCACCTTTTCTTTCAGAGCAGTGAGCTGAGCCACATTAATGTACCAGTGATGCTGATGCCTGATGACTTTAAAGCCCATTCCAAAGTTCGTGTGGATAACCACCTCTTTAACAAGTAAGTTACTGACATGCATTATAATGCATTTGATGTAACCCAAAGCCAGATTTATTTCTTAAATTATTGGTTGAATTAAAGATGTATATCGGAAGCATTTATTTCTAAAAGTTTTTAGAATACAGGTATATGCTTATATGACTTGCCTAAAATGCTGAGTGCCCTTTCTCAGACTTGAAAAGTTTAAGTTTTTTAGACTCCTAGTTATACTTAATGTGACTTGTTTTTCTTGATAACTTACAGACCAATAGGTTTTGTTTATAACTAAATATTATATACCTTGATCTTAAGATTATGGACCATTCCTTTCCATTTTGATTTGATACCATTGTACATACAGTATATTCATGAAGTGGTCTCATATTTTAGTGGTCTCATATTTTAAAGTCCCACATTCTTTACTCTTGGAACATTTATGATATCACACAAGATATCAATTAATACATAAGGGGAAAGCACCAAACCATTATGGCTATATAGCACTTGGAAGGGGTGAGGATAAGTATTTGGGATGGGACGTGGGGAAGGAATAGTGCCCAACCACTTGGATGGTAGGAGATTGAATGCCAACCTGCATGAAGCGAGACCGTCACTCTACCATCCAGCCCAAGTAGTTGGATGATATCACACAAGAGTAAATTAAACAGCAAGTCCCTTAGCTAAATTTGCAGCAAAATTGGCACACATACTTTTTGAATATTCAGTTTTCTGTATTCCAGCTGGTAGCAAAATTGTTGGTTATTACGGAGTCACAATGTCTACTAAACCCTGGACAACTTGTGTTTAAAGCAAGACAGTCCTGCTTCTTACACTCGTTAGACCACCATGACATGGCCCTAGATGCTATGGATGACAAGCAAAATGCTGATGTACTGTAATGTACTGGGCATAGGTTTGGTGAAAGCTTTCAACAAATGTGACAGTGATGTTATAACAAAATGGACACAAAAGGAATTGCTGGCAAAGTAGGTAAATGGATAATCAATTTCCTAATGAGCAGAGTCCAAAGAGAAATAGTTAATAAAGTAAAATCTGGACCATCCACTATGTAAACCTCAGTCTCCTAGGGTACTATACTTGTTCCAGTACATTTTCTCATTCTCATATTGGACATTGAACTGTAGTTCGCTAGAATGCAGGTGAGAGAGATACATAATAATTTTCATCTGGAAAACATTAGGATCGGTTCCAAATCTGCTCACGGAAATAACTGCTCGTGAGACCAGGAGGCAAGGCAGGATGTGCAAAATAGCTCTGTTGAAATGCAGAGATATAATATAGGTACACTAAGAGACGGTTCCATCAACATTAAGGAGCCAACACTGTTCAATAATCCCTCTAAACATAAGGAGGCATAACGGGCTGATCCCTTCTCGGTGTTAAAAAGAGAACTTGATAAATACTTTAGGATACTTTATCATCTGAGCAGTGATTCACATGTCAGACTGCAAGGCGTCCTGGTCAGAGACCGGGCTGTGGGGACATTGATCCTCCGAACCAATAAAAGGTAGACAAATAGTAAATTATTAGTTGGTAGTGATGCTCTGATCAAGTTACTTAAAATCTATTTAACATACTGGACTTCAAGATGCTATTATATACTGTGATGACTTTTGGATCCTGTAGACCCTTGAGGCAGTTCAGGTAATTGTAAATGTGGGAGTCAGTTATTGTTATAGCTTTCATCCCTAGCTGAAATTGCTTTAGGTTTGGTTCACATGTCCAAGGATACTCATCACATGATTACCCTTGTAATCATGTGATGGTAGTTGTGGCAATATATTACTTTGAGTTTCAATTTATCTGCCTTCAATGACCACTTAAACTTAGTAACATTTAATTTAATGCTTGACAAATATCGATCATGTTCATCACTTAGCTGTTAAAAAAGTCAAAGGCCAAGGCAACCTCATAAATCAAAATTATATAGAAGTCGAAGGACGAGACTATATTCGTCCACCAAAAGGAATAAATGTGAGGACCAAAGGTCACATTCACTGATACTCATGGTCATCATATCCAGCTGCTGCTAACTTTTGTCCACAAAATTTTGGGTCAAAAACAAAACCCTTAAGTATTGAGCTCAAAATCTAAATAAAAATGGCTATCATTGGAAATACAGTATACAGTAGTTCCTGTTTCTATGTAGTTATGTCATTTTGCTCTACCTGGTTACTTAAGCGTAACTTGATCATATGAATAGTCCCCGTGGTGAAGTTGTAACACACTAGCCTGGCGTTTCGCAAGTGCTTTGGCCCGGGTTCATATCCTGGCCGGAAAGGATTAACTGTACATCAATGCTTGACGCCTTGAAAATAATTTGTTTAATTTTCGTGTAATAAAGGCTTAATTCAGAATTTTTTTTATGCTCATTTGGGTATCTTGTAAGTGCTGATTAAGATTAACTGTGCTTTATATTATCATATACAGTATAACATCTTTTTAAATTACAGAGAGAATCTGCCTTCACACTTTAAAGTCAAAGAATACTGTCCCATTGTCTTCAGAAATTTGAGAGAGAGATTTGGCATTGACGATGTAGATTTTCGGGAGTCATTAACAAGGTAGGATATTTTTTGTGTATTTTTCAGAACCTTTTGACTTGTACGATAACTCAGTAATGAAGTTAACACGAGTTCTCATGATCATTGTATATACGGTACATCCATTGCTTTACTTGCTTATATCTTGAATGATTGCATCTGTCTATAGTCTTTAGTAGAGGAGTTTGAAGCTTTTGTTCTATAGATTTTTGCATTTTTATTAATTTTGCTTTGGAACAATACACTACTTTTCATACTTGATTTTCAAGAGGTCTCTGTGTATGACAAACTTCTTTTCTGCTATGCATCAGTAGTTTTAAACAACTATTGTTAAGTTTGCTTTTACTATTTCTTCATGGCTGAATTTTAACAGATTGCTGTCACACTTAAATATTTAATTTCAATGGTTGTTCAGTATTGTAAAAGAAACATATCTCATGTGTAAACTTTGGTTAGTGATTTCCAGTGTTAGGATTTCCTTGCAACTGTCATTGTAATAAGAACCACAGAAGAGCTGATAATTTTCTTAGTGCACTAAGTTACAGCCTAATGCAAAGGCCTCTCTTAGGTCGAGACTTATTGAAGTCCAGCGTTATGGGGTCATAGAATTGGACAGGTAACGATAGTGTTATTCTTTTCAGTTTTTATTTGTTATTTACATTGTATTGTTCATACTCAAGGATTTGAGCTGCTTACTGGCCTTCAATAAAGCTCATCTTGCCTGCTGTTAAAGAGGTTAGTGAGCCTTAATGAAGTTTTCATTTGGTGTGTCCCCAAAGGAATATGAGCCATTCTGAATAGATTATAACTATGATATTCTCTTTAACATTTTTATGATCACTTATCATATATCAAAAGTGTTGGTAATATCTTTGAAAAAGTTTTTTCAGTACTTAAGAATAGTTACTAGATAACATAGCAGAAGACAAAGGTGAATTTAATTGATACTGTGGGACACGAAGTAAAGCTCAAATTCATTGTTTTGTTATTTGGCAATACTAACATTATGGAGCCATGCTTATTGGAGTTGAGAGTAATATAACAATATTTCATAAAAAATGCATTCATCCATTATGCAGATGAAGCCAAATCTTGACGGAATGTCACCGTAGGAAATGTGGATGAAAGAGCCTCGGGAAAGTACTTGTTAGTCGGCTAGGATGGTGCCAGTTAGAGGGAAGAAGGGTACCTCAACACAGTACAGTATAACATGTTCCCAGCAGTGGTCTGGTTGACTAAACAGTCAGGAAGAGGTAGCCCTGAGGGTGCCCAACAGAAATGTGTGTTTTGTTATGTTCAGGACTAGTGCTTTTTTTTTTTTTATTGTATAGTATTTTGCAAATTTATTCATGTGTTACTTGACACAATAATGGTATTTATATACAGTACTTGTTCAAAAAACAGTGCAATGATGACAACCATTGGAATTTAATAGTTACAGTTGAAATAGGCAGGAAGTTAGTGGATAGAATTATAGTGCAGCATTACTATTAACTGAGAGTAAAAGTGAGGAGAAGGAGAATATTGAACACTACACATCATGGAAAGACAGGCTTTAATATGACCTTATTTAGATTAAGCAGGGCAAAAGGGAATGTTAAACACTTTGCTGAATACTGATGCTGGTCAGTAGTTGAGAGGAAGATAGAGAAGTAGGTTTGCTTTTAATTCTTGATTAAGTCCATACTTTGCATTGATTTCAATATTTTTGTTTATCTGTAGTTACATGTGAAATATTCATGTAGGAAGACAAACCTAATCAAGTATTGGTTAAAAAAGAAGATATTATTCTATTTGCCTTTCATGAATGAGATAGAGTTGTAAGTTTTAGAAGAACAAAAGGTAGCTGTGTCAACCTCTCCCATAAATAAGGTATTTGAAAGTTTGACGTTTAACCCTTTTTGAATCATTTAAAAAAACCTCCCTGACCCCTTGGGACAATTTTAATTTCTTAAAAAGTTCTGTAAAATTCCAGAAAATGACATAAACAAAAACTGCTTTTTTTTTATCTAAATTGTGTATGTAATTATTTATTTTTGTTTAAAAGCTTGTCACCCTTACACCTGCTAATTAATTTCCTATAGTTTCAAAAAATACTCATAATACTGTACTGCTTAGTACAGTACTGTATATCTTTTTTTTTTTGTTATTTCTTACTAAATGTTTATAATAAAATAATTTAAAAAATCAATGTAACTTTCATACATACTTTTAGGTATACGATGTTGTTGGTATATCCTCATGTCATGTTACGTTGGTGCACATTGTGGCAGGTTGTGCCGCTCCTGCCGCCAGCCCCGTCTCGTTATCCGAGTGCACGTGTGGCAGGTCGTGCATTTTGTGTCTCTGGGAGCCTGTATATATTTTCTGTGATTTTGAGCTTTCCATATACATAATCATTTTGCTAGAGTGAAATCTTTCAGCTATTTAACATGCAAATTCTGTAGAATTCCTAATACATAATGTAATTTGTATAATATGGGCAGCAGCACCTCTAGGCATTGACCCCCAGACCATGGAGCAGTTTTTAAATGTTTGGTTGTATGATACAGAATATAAATAAAAAAATTCTAGGCATATGTTATTAAATATTTAATGTAAATGATAAATATAAAAGAATTTAAACATCTCTTGATGTAGATTCACTTAGTGTTGAATCTCATACATTGACAAGATACTAGCACACAGCTACAAACATTTCATCATACATACATTCTTTTTATTTGGTGCTGTGTAAGCAGTCGATATAAGGGATTTCTTAGCTAGTCATTCTCCCACACTCAAAGATATTCCAATGCAGCATGCATTCCTAGATGATAAACGACTTGAGCAAGATAACATGGTACTAGTGCCACAGGGTCATATAAACGTGCTTTGGAGGGATGATGGAATCCATTTAGCACTGGAATAAACAAATGCCCAGCAGTTTGTTCACAAACTTCAACATTACAGATTCCCAGTGACATAGAACTCATGGTTAACCAATGGGAACTCTGTAAAGCCCAATCACACCTATCCCTGCTACCACCCACCTCCACCAGGACCTCCTGTGACCCGAGGTTCACCAACACTGATCCACCTTGCATATGTTCTGACTGCTCTACTAGCAGGTACTAATTGATAAGCTGAGTTGACTTTGGTTCCAAGCTCTAGTGCTCTTTGGACCTAACAGATATTTTTTGGTTTATTAACTGTGTCTAGTGACCATAGCTAAAGTAAGATATGGGTCATGCTGAGTGTCCCTAAGATTTCCAGCTCAGTTTTCTCCATTCTCTCCTGAATGCCATAGCCAGATGGTGGGCTGCAGTGAGTAGATTTCTGCCTGGAGATTTAGTCTAGTTTCTGGACTCCTTTGTGAGGTTTTCAATGACATTGGTGGTTCACTAGCCTTACTCTTGTGACTCAAATTTTGTTAAGGGGGTGAGAGTCAAAAGATTTTACATATATATTCAGGGGCTCCATTTGACACTGGTAAGTTCCACATCCTCTTTTCTTATTCAATGTGTGGTCTACCAAATGAGCTGTAGAATACATTACTCAGAAATTAGGCTTTGAACTTGTGAAAAGCTCATTTTTTTGGTAAATATTAACCTGCAACTCCATTACCATTTCTGTCTTCATGTCACTCTCCTTACTATGCCTCCTTTTCTGTTTTCCTGCCATAATTGTTTCTAGAATCAAATACTGCTAGTTGCCATTGGCAGACTGGATCAGTAAAGCTGCCACTTGGCCGATCAGTGTCAGTGTCACTCGGCGAGATGGCATCATAGTATGGAGTTCCTGTACAGTGTGGTTGGGAAGAGTTGGTCCAGCAGTTTCTGACACCTTACATGTGTTGTAGGGTACTTTATTCTATCAAATTGGTAAGCTTAGTTATATGGCACAGCCAGACTACTACATAAAAATTTCAAAATTTCAGTAGTTTCAAAGCGTTATACTGTATGACAGAGTGCTGGGAAGACGGGACACCACGAGCGTAGCTCTCATCCTGTAACTACACTTAGGTAATTACACTTAGGTAATTACTTAAGAAATGGCAGAACAGCATGATATACTCATTTTTCCCCCCTCTCCTCTTCTTGCTTCCCTTCCCCCTCATATCAGTTGGCATTAATCCATATGCAATATAATTTGAAGACAGTATATATATTAAATTACAGAGTTTAAAGATTTCCTTAAGACAACATTTTGTTGTTTGTATTAATTTTATTAATTAATATAATTGAGTGGATATTTTTTTATTTATTGAGTGCTGTAATATTGTTTCAATTTCCTGTATTATTATTTAGCTTTTTTTGTATTATTGTTGGCTGTGTTGTATGTTATACAGTGAATTTACAGCACATGTAAACTTATAACTTATTAGAATTTAAATATAATTTACTGTTATTTATAGGAATTTAATACTTAGGTTTAAATTTGTATATTCTCTGGGTAGGCCCATCAGTAGCTTAACAGTGCTTAAACCACTAGTACCACTGAGATTTCCACATTCATACTGCCAGGCCACAAAACTTGTGCACACTACCAAAAACTGGGATTAGAATCTGGTTTATTCATTGAGGAAAGGGAGCATTGGGAGATCAGCCCCAAGGGTGGGGAGGGGGGAGGCTCTTAGTAAGACATGAAATTTAAGACACATGACAAGCAGTAGTTGGCCACAGGTAAATAATCCTAGCTTCAACTCAGTTGACCACCACCAGATGGCAGCTTAGGTCACCTTGGGTGTCCGTTCATCCCACACGCTCACTTGTGTGTTTGATACTAGTCACTATTGTTATGGTTGGCTAGTGGTGGGTTGGAGATTATATGGGAGCTAGTATTTCTATGCTCCTGGGCTGCATTAAACATAATAAATGTTAAACACCAGTAAGTGCCCTAGGTAGAGTTAAGCCAGGCTTGGCCCCCAGGAAATTTACTCCCAGAAATTAATTTGTATAAGAGGATGATTAGCACACACTGGTGCACAGAAGGCTCATAATAATTAATATTACTTTACCCTGGTGCATAATAATTAATATTACTTTATTAAATCACAGGACCCATCATAACAAGACCGCTTGAACTACCTAATCTACATTTACGTTATGCACAATACCCCACATAGACAGGAGTAAGACTTACAAATGCAACACTATAGGTAGGTCAACAGCCTCTGAAAGAGACATACACTTGGACATTTCCCTATAACACCAGTACACATGAAATCCTCTCTGGCCGTAGTCACAAACAACACATTAATAATTGACTAGGGGCAGAGTTTATCAACACGTTAAGACCATAATGGGTGGCTAATATTTAAATTATATAAAGGAGGTACCTATTTGTAATATCTGCGACACCAGCAGCCCACACCTGACCAGTACCAGGTTCAAATCAGCAGTTGCGTCCTGCTTCCCACGGTGCCTGAGCTACCCAAATGTCATACCGTAACTGCCTATTTTGCAAAACATTAAAACAACCACCAAACTTACATATTTACCATTCATATGAAATATCCGTCTAGCTGACTTTTTGCTTCAACAAGTTTCTTACTGTCTTCTCTTAAAAAAGCAAGAAGCTTACATCATGTTATATCATTGTACAGTTGGCAGCATTTCTACTCGACTGCCCTTCTTTACCTTGCACTGTGCTTATTTGGCTACAGACCAGTGTTCCTCTGTTCCTCTATCACCTAGGCCCACCTGGGTCGTAACAGCTACCCACCTACCTCTGCAGGGACTGCTTGACAGTCCTTTGCAAAAAGTGAAGTGTGTCACCCCTTGGGACATATTCCTTGGCATCGTTTTCTCGTTCTCCATCAGAGATACTTTTCTCTGAAGGGTTTAGGTGTTGTCCACTCTGGAGCATCTCCTTTTAAATTATGATCTCTGAGTATTGCTTGAGATGTAGCCCTCCAAGCCAGGCCTGTTGATGATGAGTTAATGACTATAGTTAGCTGTGCTCTAGTGTGTATATACTAGAGGATAAAGAACCTTCCTGGACAATTGCAATTCTTTTGTTAATGAAATACCTTAAGGATCACATCTTCATGGGAGAATTGACAGCCTTTGTGGTTGGAGCACTTTTCCTTACTGTTCAGCTTTGGCATGGCCTCTCTTACTGGCTTTTAGGTTGGAAATTTCTTGTCTCACTTATCTTAAGCTGTCTAGGATTTTTTCACCTCCAATGTTCCTCTTGAACCTACTTGGTCCTTGAATAAGGTCTTGTCCTCTTTGTCTTGCACTCGGTTTAGTGTATCTTCCTCTGCTAAGGATTCCTTCTTCAAAGCAGTCATGTTTGGTTTTTGTTTCCAGCTATCATGTTAACAAGTTTCAAGCTCTTTGTAAGAATTCAGCGTTTTGTTCTTTTGATTCTGAAGTGTGTTCTTTCTGTCTTGGGTTCTCTCCATTTTTTTTTAGCTAATAATAAATCATGTGTTCCTGAGGGATCTTTTAATCAGTGACTTCTGGTTCAGCTGAGGTGCATCATTTGCTTTGTCATGTCATTCTGCATCATTATTAATGCTTCACCCCTTGTAAGGGCACAAGCTGTTTGCTCGTGTAAGGCATGAGATCGAAACCTGTCCTTACTACAAGCATAGAGGCTATTTAATACAGGTATTTATTAGAATGGCGAGCCCTCCTCAGAGGTACCACTATGCACTCAAACAGCACATGTATATTTAAAACTTTGTTAATTATGTGTTCTCTCAAAAAACCATTCCCCCCTCTGAGGCACTGTTGTGATTAAGTGCCAAAGCATTTCAGATTAGCCATCCCAGAAATATAGGGATGGCTAACCCCTATATGAATGAAATAACCAATTTCATGAAAAGAAATGAAAAGAATGCAATGAAATAAGCCTTTTCTGAACAACCTGTAATAGCTGCCTTTCTGAACTCTGGACTACTATCTGTAGTCCAGAGCTCAGAAAGACAGTAGCAACTCGCCCTACAGACTATGGCGAGTTGGTGCATGGGTTGTTATCCGTGGCCATCTGCCATTTGACTTGTCTTAAATTTCTCTCCTTAAGATTTTATTTCCTTGCTTGCTTGCATGCTTGTGACTGGTCAGTTTTTTCGGTTTTGAAATGTTTTCTAATCGTCAGGCTTCTCTAGTCTTGATAAATGAACCAAATTTTGATCCTGGTTGTTAGTAAGCCTTGCAAGTCTAAGAGCCTGGTAGCGTGTTTTAAGTCTTAGTGGTACCAGAACCTTAAGGTTCAGGATGCTATTGAGGGTTGCCTAGAAATGACATTTTATTATATACATTTTTTTCTACTGCTACACCTTTATTTTTGCTAAAACATTTGTTGACTTTGCCAGTTATATAAGATTTTAGAATAGCCTACTGTATTTTTTTTTTTTTGTGAAAGACAAAAGTTTGACTTCATAATTTTGATTGATATTGTGCCCAAGGTCACAACCTGTGGCAATAGACTCGCCAGGGAGAAGTGGTGCTCGGTTCTACAATTCCTGTGACAAGATGTACATTGTGAAAACTCTAATTAGTGATGAAGTGGAACAAATGCACGCCCTGCTCAAAGAATACCACCCGGTAAGTTAAAGGTTTCAGGCTCTCAAAGTTGTAGAATGAGCAGGAAAGTGTTTAGGTAATTTAACCCTCAAAGTGCAGCTATTGTGCACACCTTGACTGTGCACCAAAAATATATATTTTACTTGTTTTCTTGTGTAATGGTAGATTTGCATTTAAAAGTTTGGAAAATACTGTACACAAAATTCGTATATCTACCCTTATTTTAGCTTAGCCAGTTGTCAACATTCCTTCTGGTATTCATCAACCAAATATAGTATTGGCTATACATTAAGAACATAATAAGTAGGGTGGCTGATATTTTATTTATATAAAGGAGGTACTTATTTGTAATATCTTAGACACCAGTTATATTGTGATGGGAGACAGTACCCCTAAAAAATATTTCTTGTTATATTTTCTTACGAAATAAATTTGAAAGTAAGTACGGTAATCTATGTAAGAGTAAAAAGAACATTAAAATAAATTATACAGTAAAGATGACTATGTTGTGATTAATTTTTCTCATTTAATCAGTATCAAGAGCAATGACAGAAATTGTCTCATTTTAGTTGACAATGAATTCACATGTGTTTATCCAAAGTCTGACCCAGAATTATTTGAAGGGTACAAAAGTTGAGAAAAGCTGCCCTAGACAATCAACACATTATAATGATGTTGACGGTTAAATTATATTGCTGGAAATTTCAGGTGAGTATACCCAAGATACTCAGCAAGGACTTTATAGTAATGTTGCAGACTACGAGTCACAATAACGTGGCTGAAGATATGATGACGAAACCATAAATCAGAAGATGAAGAAATAATAACTTTTCTGTCCAGCCTGGACCATTATCACTCGCACACGACTTGATAATGGTCCAGAACGGACCAAAATGTTGTCATTGCTTCATCTTCTGATGTGTGGTTTGGTCGTCATTATAGTAATGGTGTTATTATTATAAGGTACTTACTAGAGCCACCCTCCTGCCAGCATGAGGTAAAAATCCAAGTGAATGTAAATGCAGTTTATTACGGTTGTTAAGTGTGTAATCTTTAAACTTGGTACAACATGGATTAAAATAGTAGCATTATGGGATAACTGTCTTAAATGACTAAATATTTCAATTATTGCAGACAATAGATAATATTGCCTTCATTACTCATCATGTTGTTTTCTGTGGAGCATTTAGAGATCTGGTTTATATTAGTTTGGAGGTTTGCTACCTCCTCTGCAGTTTCAACTCATAAACATTCTAGCATCGTCTGCAAAGGATGACACGGCACTATAATTTGTGTCCTTGTCTATGTTAGGGAGTTGGTCGGCCGAGCAGACAGCACGCGGGACTTGTGATCCTGTGGGCCTGGGTTCGATCCCAGACGCCGGCGAGAAACCATAGGCAGAGTTTCTTTCACCCTATGCCCCTGTTACCTAGCAGTAAAATAGGTACCTGGGTGTTAGTCAGCTGTCACAGGCTGCTTCCTGGGGATGGAGGCCTGGTCGAGGACCGGGCCGCGGGGACACTAAATGAGCCCCGAAATCATCTCAAGATAACCTCAAGATGTCTATTAGAATGAGAGAGTACTGGAGCAAGAGCAAGTACAGTGTCCTTAAGGTCTTGAGTTTTCATGGTGAATGATTTGGATTTTATTCTCTCGACTATTACTGTTAGGGTTCTATTTATTGTGAAATTGAAAATCTGTCTGCCTACAGTGCAAGTAATTCTTTTTATGTGCATTTTATGTGAAATTATACCATGGTCACATTTATCAAAAGCTTTCACAAACGTCTCTGTATATTACATCAGGATTTTGGTCATCTTTCATGGCATCCATGGCTATGTCATAGTGGTCTAGCAATTGTGAGAGGCAGGAATGCCGTGTGCTGAACCCGTGTTGGCGAAAGTTTTGTAGAAATGACTCCCTGTGTTTTTGTGAACTTACTTCTTTGGATTCTGAAGATTTTTATGATGCAAAATAAAAGTATTATAGGGGAATAATTTCTTGCATTATTTTCCCCTTTGTTGAGTGGTATGATTTACTCTGTTTTAAGAGCATCAGGGATGACAGTACAGGTATTTTGACTCACTTCCTGAATACCTGTACTGTGTTTAGAAATTACACATCAAAAGGATGTTCTGTAATTTTGTTGATAAATTCAAGAACGTGAGTTGTGTTTACAGATGAGTAACCACTCCAAAATTCAAACAATGGGAAGGGAAGTTTGGAGACCCCGCCTGCTTTGAATACATGTACAGGCCAAGCACACCTGCCTCTAGGAGATTAATTGACAAAACTTGGCTTCTCCAGTTGAAGAATCACTCTTATACTGTATTTGTAATTTGTATGAATAAGCCAGTATTCTGCCTTGTTTGCACTTCTGTATGAAAACTGTCAGTTTGTCACTAGACAAAAAATCTGTATAAATGAACAAATGGTGTGTGAATATTATGTAGGGTACTGTAAAGGAGAGGTTCAGTAATAGAGAAAATAAATATATGAAAAGATAAAAACTTTGTAAATGAGAGAGAATATAACAAACAAATTGAACTGTAAATTACATAAATTTTATTTTTATAGTAGGAATCACTATTTAATTATTTGCTGGAATTTGTTAAGCATAAAAGTGAAGAACATTCAGCATTACCAAAGCAGTTGTAAAGAGGGTATAGAGTTTCTTGGTAAAATACTGCAAATTGAATGACATAATTCTATACCATTGATAATACAGTCTTGGTTTTCAGTATGTTGTGAATCGTCACGGCAAGACATTACTGCCACAGTACTTGGCCATGTATCGCCTCACCGTAGACAACATAGAAACATACTGTGTCGTAATGAGAAACGTCTTTTCTACTTTCCTCCAAATTCACAAGTGAGCATGATTATAACTTTTGTAATAAAGCTCTCTTTGCATTAGAAAAATATGAGTTTCTTCACCGTTACATCTTAGTTGCGACTAAGATTAGACTGGTGTGTTGAAAGCAGAAGTGATGAAAAGTTAGGCAGGGCTGTATTCTAGGCACCCACACTGAAGGGATCTTTTCTTCTTTGTATCGCAGGTGAGTTTTATCCAATCTTTTGCTCTTTCCTTCCGTTGAACGAGTTTACCTTAAAGATTCACCTAAATGTGATTGTTCTGAAATCAGGCTTTATGTGAATATGAAAACCGTCTTTCTGAGTATAGCCATTTAGTTGCCACTAATCCTTCTCATTTCTGTCTATACTGCTCTGTGCACAGTTTAAGGCTATTCTTGAGTCTAGGATCATATCCATTGGTCTGGTTCAAGATAACCTCAAGATACCCAGGAGTGCACATGGTGCTACCACCTGGTTGTGGGTGGTTTAGGTAGGCAAGCAGGCAAATGAACATATACATTATATGTGTATGTATTATATTTGTATGTACAGTATGTATTTATATGTGCCATATGTAATTATCAGACCTACACTAATTGGCCTAGTAAGAAAGGTCTGTTTTGCCTAACAGTTATTTTGCATATTTTACTTAGTCCACTGTTACTTTAATATGTTTCAGAAAAATATGATATAGGCTTTTCAGTGTTGCAGAAAACAATGTGAACACAAGAATATTTATACAATTGTATGTTATTTTCCTACAGGAAATATGACCTTAAAGGCTCAACAGTTGACCGTGAAGCATCTGTCAAAGAGCTTGAGAAGGATCTCCCAACTCTAAAGGATAACGACTTTATGAAGGATGGTACAAAAATATATATTGGTGAGGAGGCAAAACTACAGCTTATGGAAACACTTACAGCTGATGTGGAGGTAAGACTGGGGAAGTCTTGTGACTCTTTGGTTCATATCAAGGATAACAAGATTTCTTGAAAGGCTATGTACATCTGTTCTTCACCTAACTTTCAAAACAGTGTAAGATGGGTAGATAATTAAGGAATGTAGTCTGGTGGTATAAGGTTTAACAAATTGTAAAATATATTTTCACAGTTCCTGATGAGGCTGCATTTGATGGATTACTCGCTGCTTCTTGGAATCCATGATATAGCTCGAGCAGAGATGGAGGGAGTTACTCAGAATGAGTCTGAAGAAGATGCGATTGAGGTAAGTTTCACCCATGTTGTTAAAATAGTGCAAATTAAGCCCTACTGTATTAATGGAAATTATGATATGTTTGGTTATATTAAGATTGGAAAAGTAACAAATGCTAAAATTAAGACTGACTCACATAGGGTAAAGTTGTTGGTCTTTGGACACTTTAAGAATATAATTGAAGCTCTCATTAGACTAAAACTTATTATACAGGCTGGAGGGACCCAAATTATGCTGAGATCTAAATTGTCCAAGTGCTTAAATTAAGGCCATAATCACTTTATCTTTAAGAAGGAGGTTAAGAAGAGAGAGAATCTCTGAGGGGAGGGGGAGGTAAGATGAGATTATCCAGGGTAGCTTTTATGAAGCAATGAGAGATGGCCTATATTTAATATTTGCTTGAAAATCTATTTAGTATTGCTGATCACCTATTGCTGATGGATATTGATATTTAATACAAGTACAGTAGCATACAGTGTTTTATTTCTGCATGATTTATAGTATGCCACTCAAGAGAGTGCATTATTAATAATTACAGTTTAGTATTGTATGTTTTTGTATATACTCGACGCATTTCTTGTCCATGTCAGGAAGAAGATGACGACGAGTGTAGTGGTGTACCGACTCCACCCGACTCGCCTAATACGGCTGCGAGAGAACGAGCAACCAGTAATGGAGCCATTGATCCTGATGTTGAAATATATGCTATTGAGAGTAATGAAAGTAAGTAAAGGCATTTGATTTTTTATCTGGTTAAGAATAATAGGTTGCATAACCTCGACATGGGGTTGGTGTCGAAGTAGGGATACTTATGGTTTTGTAATGTATACATTTTTGTTTTTGGTTCTTCTGGCAGGTTTCTATTAAAGTCATTGAATAGAAAAGTCTACTTTTGTGTATGTTTTTTTTTTGTCTGTGATAATTTGAAACTAATCTTATTGGCTTCAAACTAATTATTTGACGTTCTTTTCTTGAGTGAGAAATATACCCAATGACATCTATTTATTAATATTTATTCAAATCGTCAAGGTACCCAGGGTGTCCAGGTGCATTGTCCAATACAAGTAAAACTTTATAATAAATCTTCTTTTTAGCACAGTATGATTTTACTTCTTGCCAAGTACCAGTCCCTTAAAATGTCTTGTGTTACCCAAGCCTTGGGAGTACTTTCTCCACACCACTGGCAAAGACAGTTATGTCACATTCTTTAAGGCTCTGGGATTTTCTGAAGGGTACACAAGAAGAGGCTTAAAGTTTACAGTCATCAGCAACAAGGTTAAGCAGTCGTTTTGCCTCTTTGAAGCCAGGCATTGTTTTTCCCCCTGGCAATATGTCCAGTTGAGCATTTTTTTTTCAAGACAGGCAAGTTTCATTAATATTAAACACTTGATGAGCACTGTAGTTTCTGTCTTCAATAATTTTGACCAATTTTGGAACACATTCAGCTGCTCCCTTCTCATTTGAACAAGCAGCCTTGCCACTCACCTTTATGCTGTGTAAATGTCCTGCTCTTATATCTATAAAACCATTCGCAACTGTCCACAAATGTTTCATCACTCACAGTTTCACCTAATTTCTCCTTTAAATCATCAAAAAAAGATTTATTGCTTTCACCTGCATAAGCATCAAGCTGATTGACTTTTGACGACTTTTCTAGTACCTCAATCCACAGTATTAGCTACTTTTCCATCTCACAAATTAAATGTGATCTTTTCCTTATTGTTGTTGATCTCATTGGTGTAGAACCCTTCACATGCTCTAAAATTCATGTTTAGTCTTTTATTATTAAGATGGTTGCAGTTGTTGAATGGTCCACACTATAAACTTTTGCAACCTCTTAATTTGTTCACCCCTATCAGTGCTTAATAATGTCTAGCTTCATCTCTAAGGCAATGTGTTACCTTTTCCTTGGCACTGGTGCATTATCAACACACTTCCTCTTCCTATCAGTCATTGTTAATGGCATTTTTCTTGATAAAGTCCAAATAAAGCACAGCATGTCTAGTCTGGCCATGAAAAAACTGTTGAGTGAGGCCACGTGGGTCTCCACTGATACAGGTCACATTGTATGTGCGATGGTTTGCCAACTTATTTTAAAACCATCCTAACCTATCCCAAGCAAACCTAATCTTACCCAAAGAAACCTAATCTAACCCAATCAAGCCTAAACCAACATAATCTAAGTTAATACATTCTAACCAAACAATATACAGTATACAGTTTTGGTAATCGGAAAATATGCTGTTGAAGTGTTGTGCATGATTTGATCATATCCAACTTCTCTAGTGGACAATGTAGATGTTTTTGTACAATATTCCACCACATGGCTGCTGTGCATAATACTGGGGATGCTCTGGCAAGTTCGTATAGTCATTTGATGCATTGGGGGAATTTGAGTTATTGTGTTGGTGATGTCACCTGGAGGCAGTCATGGGTAGTAGTGGGCTGTTCAGTAGTCATCTTGTGCATAGTATGGCTGTTTCTTTGATGCCAAGCTATGCTTGGATAGGCTTTTGAGTTTATGCAGTCCACTGTTCAGTCTACATTTTAGGCAGAATCAAGTATTCTCCAATGTCTTCCTAACACCAGTGTGTCCCTGCAGGAACAGTTTAAAAAGTTCCCATCTGTTCCTGTGAGGAATCTTTAACTGCTCTGTGACTGCTAGATTCTAACCAGTGATCAGTAGGATCTCTCCTTAATGAGCAATGGAGTGTACTGCTCAGAAAAGCACTTTTAACATACACTCAAAGCTGGATTTGTTTACTTTCAGGTGCACCTCGTCGTGAAATATATTTTATGGCCCTCATTGATGTATTAACCCATTATGGTGTTAAAAAGCAGGCAGCCAAAGCTGCAAAAACTGTCAAGTATGGATCAAATGCAGATGGCATATCTACAGTGGAACCTGATCAGTATGGGCGACGATTTTTGGACTTCATGTACCAGGCCATTGTGTAGGAGTAGGTTATGCAAGTGTAAAGTTTGTGGGTGTGAAGAGACCCTTATATCCTCAACTGTGTAGATTTTCTTTGCTGAAACTTGTGTGATCCAGATATAAAACCCTCACATACATATAATACCAGATTTATATTATCAGAAATTATTAACATCATTTGTTTACATTTTTGATAATTATTAATAATTTATTAATGTATGTAAAATAGGTTAACCCTGGATGCATGAGTATTAATAAATATTATTTTTTCAAACATTAGTTTCATGAAAAACATATTGGGCAGAAATGTTAAATTAAAGTTGGTTATTTAGTTTAAAAGAGGATCAGAATGTGAAAATTGATGATCCGGCATGTGAAAGTATAGACGCACTTAATAATTGATTCAAACTTGGATTTGATTAAACTTTCCTCTCATAATAGCTATGCTGAAGTTAAGAATATTAATTATTGGATGAAGTACTGAAGTTGAATCATTTACTGTATTCAGTGTACAGAGTCGGTTCTTTCAGCTTTATGATACTGTACTATCTTCAACCATTCATACCTCTGAGATGTTAGGTCGATCATTTCGAGCTCAGAGTACTGTATGTTTGGCTAGTCATGTCAGTTTTGTTGAAATGGTTCAACATTAACATTGTTGACATTTCATTAACATTAACAATAGTTAACATTTCTAAATGTTAACTATTACATTTGCTTGATCAGTCTTAACAAAGTTTGTGATTATAATGTTACCAGTATTTGAGTCTTTATGTTTTACTCTATATTTTAATTCAAACCTTTTTTTTTAATAAGTAGGAGAGAATTTATTGATTTACAAAAGAACTGATTTACAGTGATTTCAAGAATACTCACGTTAGGTTTTCGTCTTTGTCCTCATTAAACAATAAGGAAATAATTGCTATAGTTGAAATAGCCATTGTTTTTCCCACATTGATTGTGCCTATCTGCTCAGTTTTTTCAGTTTTATGGGAAAAATGTCAGTGATTGGGATGGTGATCATAAAAGAAATATATAATCTTTATACTGGATCCAGCCTTGAGAGCTCAAAGGATAAATGTTTTACAGGAATTACGTTGGGAAGAGTATCTGAACATGTAGTCTTAGGAATCTGTATGTTTACAACTAAAGGGCTAAAAAGGTTTACAATACAGTGTGTGGAATTGTCATGCTAGTCCATTAAAAATATTGTAGTGATGCATTGCCCTGGGAAGAGTTATAACAAATTGTAGACTTGTCAGTTTGATGTGCCTGCCCTCCTTAAATTTTAAACGATATCCCCCCCTCTCTTTAGATTTTAAATACTGTACAGGCAAGTAAAAATGTATATAATCAGTAAGCTTATCTTGATTGAAAGCATGCCTTAACATTAAGAACATCACGTTTGTAAATATATCGAGCTGCCTTGTCACGGGCAGTGTAAGACAACAAGAGACTAAGATGACAACTTAGATAATATCTAAGAAGAGGGTACATTTATTTAGAGAAGGAGCATATGTCTAGGATGATGGTATGTCTGATTAGATTTGGGGCACATGTTTGGGTGGAAGTGTACATCAATGTAGAGAAGGGGGGCATGTCTAGGAATAAGATACATTTTTATAGAGGAGGAACATTTTCAGGAAGAAGGGTATATCTGTGTTAGAGAGTTGAATTAGACTGTTTTGGTTTGAGTAGAAAAGTGGCAAAATTCACTTGAAATATTGTTGATCACTGAATGTTGAGTAATTCGGTATTTTTTTTGACTGATGGATTAAAAACACTCGTAGGTAAAAGAAATGGAATTAATGGATAAAATCAAACTTGGGGGTACTGTATACTTAGTGACAAGTGTGTTATCGATAGAAGAACATGATATTGAGAGGCAATTGTTTAACTTAAATAAGGCAGTGCATGAACAGAGGATGTACTGATACCAGTTTTTGGGAAGGATTTTCTACACAGTCACTCGTAGGCAGACAAATGCTTAGCAGTCTTTTTATTATTTAGGTGAATATTGATTTTCATATTAAATATGTTCAAAAGATAGTGATTTTTCAATAAAAGGAGAAAACAAGCTTTATATAGATATTGAAAATGCTTTGTTTCCCAGAGAATATATTCATTATGTATAGAAATGTTTAAGGAACTTTCAGTTTCTTCAAATAAGTTAAATTTGTTTAGCTTGTGATATATTTAATTATAATATGCATTTACCTTATAAATTTCAAGATTTGTTCCACTTAGTGTGCATATTTGAAGGAATAGGTTAACTGTAGTATGATTTATGTTTGATTTGAAGGGGTAATTGACCATCATTATCTAAAGAAAATAGATAAAATATTAGTACAATGGTCTACCAGCATATCAGGTGCTAATTAAACCATTAGGCAGTTTATTAAATTTTTAAATAAACAAAATTTATGCCTAGAGCCTAATAGCTTTTAGGCTTTAATGTTTTCAATTACTTTAATCATAAGGTTGGCTACTTTTCTGTTTCGTGTGAAATTCATCGCATAAAACTTTTTTTTTTTTTTAACTGCCTCTGTAGTTTGTAACTGAGCTGTAGACATAGTATTGCTAAAACTAATCAAGTGTACTTAAGGAGTCGATGTAAATTTTATTGAATATTCCTTGCATTTGAAGAAGATATTTCAGTAATACTGTCATAGATGGGTGGTATATGTAGTGAAAAGAACTCTTCAGGTTGTCTGGATACGAATCTCATGGGTGAAAGTCAATTGGGCAAGAGACTTTAGAGAAAGAGATAAGTAATTTATAAAAGGGTAATTATGAGACCTCTCTTAAATAATTTTAGGCTTGGTCTCCATGTGACTGTGTTGACTTTGACTGTATTGGTTAGTATGTGTGATGCTGTCGGTTATCACTTCCATAATTGACTGTATATAGGGCACCTAAACTCTATTATTATTATTATACATTAAGTCTCAGTGTTGTTTATTCATGCATTAAGACTATTTTATTGACTTTTTTTTGTGCAATAGAAGAGTAAAGTACTTTACTCACTATTTAATAGAAATTTAGAAATTTAATAAGTTAATTGGATCAGGAACGACAATATTGAATGAGAATATGTTGATGAAAACATTGACAAAATATGAAGTAGAGTATATATGAAATACAGGAAAATGTGATATGTAGATAAACAAAAAAGTTATGACTGAGGTCTCAGACATTTCAAATCAAGTTTCCTAATGAGTTTAACACTACAGTGTTGTTAGAGAAGTATCATACATCACACAAGTGTATAATAGTGAGATAAACTTTATATTAAATTCAGAATAAAAAAGTTTAAGTGGACCTTTATTCTTTTTAATAATTCTTGATATTTTCTTTGGTGTTAACCCTTAGAGCATTTGAGTCTATAAATATTTAAAAAATTAAATAACTTTAGGAATTTCTTCTTTCCAAATGACATAAAGTATGGGGGGGAAATCAATTAATTTCCTTGGACATACAGAATTAAATATTGCTTAAATTCTGATATTGATAATCTTTTCTTGCAAAATTCAAGGACAAATTAAGATACAGGTGACAAGAAAAATACAGATAATGGATGTGGTAATGCCACATGCTTCAAAATTATTCTAATTAATAACTTTACATGCATAATAGCTATGTTTTTTTATTAGGTAATAATAGCCAGAGAAAAAGTGGAATCATGATGACCAGACCACACACACTAGAAGTTGAAGGACGACAACGTTTCGGTCCGTCCTGGACCATTCTCAAGTCGATTGTGAACTCAATCGACTTGAGAATGGTCCAGGACGGACCGAAACGTCGTCGTCCCTTCACCTAGTGTGTGGTCTGGTCAACATACTTCAACCACGTTATTGTGACTCATCGTCTGCATATGGAATCATGATAATTATAAATATATGCAGAACCCACGAATTTTCATAGTGAAAAATGTCCATCGACGTGAGCTGTGCATTAATGGTTAAAAACCATTGTTGTAAATTCATATTTTTTTTTATTATTTTTTTACTCCCTTGTTTTATGTTAAAAGGTTTGATTTTTTTAAGTCACCTGCAGGTTATAATAGTCGGTGCCTTTTGAGCTACACAGTACTCTCCGTAAACATGCAATTTACGGTTAGGTTACGGATCATATAAACAAGGGGAATGTTGATGTAGGAAAATATCTAAGAGTTGTGCGAGACTTTGAAGAATTGGAGAAGCCTGTTAGTGTCTGAAAGAGTAATGTATATTAACAATGGTGTCCTAGTGTATGTTTTTGTTTGTCATGTAGCTAAGCAGATACTCAAAATGATTTGTCTCAATGAAGAACATTACTACAAGATTATTTCTTTTATAACTAAAGAAATTTATAAAACTTAAAGTAATATCTTATTTAGTGTAAATAATCTAACTTCTTGTGGATAAGGATGGTTGATTACTCAATTTAATATCTCTATAGAAAGATATTATATTATATTGTAAGATTATGTATTTAGTATGGTGAATATCATGGTGATTAATGCAATCATCTTGAAGCTTCACTATTGTGTCTGTTGAGTCAAGAATGTAGAGGTCAGATTCATCCTCAGTTAAACCATCATGCAAAACAGAATTAGGTGTTGCAGAAAAGATGCTTTTAGCCTTGTGTGAATTAATTGTACAAAGAAAGAGTTGACTCTCCAGGGGCTAGATTCACGAAGAAGTTATGCAAACACTTACGAACCTGTACATCTTTTTACAATCTTTGGCGGCTTTGTTTACAATTATTAAACAGTTAATGAGCTCCGAAGCACCAGGAGGCTGTTTATAACAATAACAACAATTGATTGGCAAGTTTTCATGCTTGTAAACTGTTTAATAAATGTATCCGAAGCCGTCAAAGATTGAGGAAAGTTGTACACGTTCGTAAGTACTTGCGTAACTGCTTCGTGAATCTGGCCCCAGAACTTTTTAAAGATGATTTAATTTGAAGCTTAAGATTTGTATATCTGATTGACACAATCATATAGTGTGTGTGTTTGTCTGTCTGTCTTTTTCTCATGCACTGCACAATTGTGAGCATCTTATTTTTTCATTTTTGACTGCTGCATTTATAATAGTTTATCTGAATGTTTTCTCAGGATAATCTGTTGAACTTCAAGCATAGACATTTTAGTTTCTGTTATGCAATATACAAATTTTTTGTAATATTCCATTAACATAAGAAAAATTGGACCTGTAATCAAAGAACAGTACAGTACTAAGTTTAGGTTTATTGTCTGTGATGACCAACAAATAGTTACTGTTCACATTAATTTCTCCTTGAACAAAATATCAATGTTCAGTGATCACACATTTGGTTCACCAATACTGGCAATGATTCTATTACACCAAATTGACCTAACAGAGCAGGAATGTAATGTACTGCCTGCTCACCTGCAAGATTTTAATAGACCACCTAGGAGACTGGACTAATGCAGAGGTCTTAGCTTCTACACAAACTTTCTGGGGGAAGCCCCTTTGGCTCCCAGGAGTTGCTGGGGAACCTCCGGGTCTCACTCAGTAAATGGCGTTTCATTACATTCAACGCCGGTTTTTGGTATGGGAAGCCCCAAAGGTTTCAGAGATACCTTGTTTTTGATATATGTACAGAGAACCTCCGGGGCTCCCCCAGAAAAAGCCATTTCATTACTTTCAACGCTGGTTTTATTGACAAAAATATAATTGAATTTAGCTTAATTAGATATAGGGATATTATTTTAAATATGATCCCTAGTTTGTATAAAGTTGATTCATTTTTTATTAAAAGAATCACTTTTAAGATTCTAGATACATATATTTGCCTAGCCCCTTGTGAGTCACTTGTGTTCACTCGCTCTATGGCTATGCTTGCCTGTTTATGCGCTCATTTTCTAATATTTCGTTTCATTACTCTCCTGCATTATTAGTGGATGTATAGTATTACTTGATTTTTGGGGTTTTTGCTAAAATTAGGATTTCTTTTCAGTCTTACTTTAATTGTCATTATTTTTATCACTCAATCACTCACGTATGTGTGTATGTGTGTGTAAATCATGAAGAAATTAACACATAATGAACAATGTAACAATGTCAGATCATGAACGAAGGATTAGATAGGAATTTCCTTAAGTACTTTTGTATTGAATAATATATTTCCATCCTTCTGAAGATCCTTCTGAAGATCCTTCTGAAGATCCTTCTGAAGATCCTTCTGAAGATCCTTCTGAAGATCCTTCTGAAGATCCTTCTGAAGATCCTTCTGAAGATCCTTCTGAAGATCCTTCTGAAGATCCTTCTGAAGATCCTTCTGAAGATCCTTCTGAAGATGCATTATTAAATATGAAAGTACTTAAGGAATTTTCCTGTCTTAATCCTTCCCTCATGGTCTGACATTGTCATATTATTTATATATACAGTGGAACCTCAGTTTTTTCATTTTTCGGTTCTCGAGCACAATTGTGTGTGTGTGTATGTATATGTATGTATGTACAGTACTGTATATGTTTGTATGCATGCATGATGTCTACCACATTTAAAACATGAGAGTATAAATCTGAGTGCATTTGTATTGCCTTTGACAAAGGATTGAAGTCAATCCAAAAGCACTCATACATACATACATACATACATACATACATACATACATACATAGTATGTATGTATTCAGCTAGGTGAGTACATGCATACACACACATATATAGTATGTAATTTACTCAACTAGGTGAGTACATACATACATGTATGTATGTATATGCAAATATTTTCCGACCAATATTAGCGTGTTGTTATGGCAGGCATCACATTAGTAGGCAAAAAAATTGCTTTCACTGCTGCTTTATATCAAAGATTGGCTTATTGTTCTAACATCATTTAACTCTCCGAGACAAATCTTAAAAAACTGTATGATGTTAACATTTAGTTATTCTTTATTTGCCAGATAATAGTAGCTACACTATTAAATGTTAATATATGTACTGTATATGCTTTTGATGCTTGCTTTTCTCTGGGTACTCCTGAGAGGTGTGAAGAGATTGTTTCTGTAAAAGGCAATATTGCCATCAAATATTAACGATAAAATGAACAGATGAAACATTTGTTGGAGCATTCTAATACTTAGCTGTCACAGTGAAGTGTTTACTTGCCTGCACTCAGAAACTATAATAATAAAAAGTATAAAGATCACCACATTAAACATGCAGTAGATAGAAATTAAGAGGAAAGAAGAAGAAGAAGATAGGAAATGGGCACTTTCGTAAAACGTGATAGATTTGGAGAATATGAACCAGTCGTTCTTTTGATCTCGGTGTCGGTATGGGCATGCATTGTTCTCAATTCAAGGGTAGGCATGCATAGTGATCTCACAGTATGGGCATGAGAATGCATATTAATTTCTCAGTGCTGGAGTGGGCATGCATAGTGATTTATCAGTGTGGGAGTGAGCATGCATGAGGTTCTCTTAGTGCAGAATTGGACATACGTAATAATCCATCAGTGTGGGAGTGGGCGTGAATTTTGATCTCTCAATGTAATAGTGAGCATGCATAGTGATCTCTTAATGCAGGATTGGGCATGAATAATCTAGTCTGTACACTTTGAGCATGTGTGTGTGTGTCATCACCACTGATAAAACAACTTGAGTTTGTTAATAATTATTGTATTTTGCTTTTGGTAATTATATTATGATGATCACTAATTCAAGAGATTATGTTGAACACACAGACTTCAGGATGGCCATGTTATTTTTAAAGTGCATTAATCCTTAAACTGCTACTGTCACCCACAAGCGATGTGCCACATAATATTCAAAAGTTCTAAAGATTCTATGTTTATATCATTTATTACGATTGACCTATGGCAATTTTTTGCCATATTGGAAAAAATCCTGAACATCTTAGTTTCTTTCCTGGGCATTATAAAAAAAAAAATTGACACTAAATCAAGATCCATTTAGTGATGCCCTTGCTGGGACCCATTGATGCCATGGAAAATTTTAAGACCTTTTATGGGCCTGGAAGATATTATTGGGGAGAAATGAATTCCAAATAATGAATTTGAGAACTAATTCTTAGAATTTGACATTTTTATTATTTATTCACCTCATTGCTGCCAACCTAAAATTATTTTTCCATATCAGAAAGAAAAGTTTTATGAAAAAGAAAGGAAAAATAATTTTTATAAAATTTTTTTTTGTGTACTAGGAAGATGGCCTAATTTATAATTTAGGGTGCACAGTTAGGGAGGTTAACTATGGGACGTGCAATACTGTATTACATGTTACCACTTAGCGGCCAGCATAACACTCAGCCAGGGACTGAGGGTTACCTCTACCATCAATGG